AGGAGGGAATAAAAGTGCTATTCTGGAATCAAGGAGGGTATAAAAGTGCTATTCTAAAGTTCATATATGCTCCAGGAGAAGCATAAAGATAAGATTAATTTCAGACTTTGTTACTGTGATAAAAATTTTATGGCTAGCTATCATAAAATAAAAATAGAGTATGTATTTTTAGAAAGGATCAATGGACTGAGATAATTTTAATCAAAAGCATTAAGAAAAATCAGGGGGAAAAGAGAATGTGAGAAAATAAACGTGTAAAACAAATGAAAATAAATCCAAATAGATTATCCATTATGTATTACAGAATGCTAATACATTACAAAAATGGGGTGAATGTTCTAGCTGCATAAAATATGAGTCTAAAAAGGCATTATATAATGCTTATGAAATATTCTCCTAAAGAATAAGAACACACTAATCAAGGAAACACAAATGAAAACACAGCAGGATGCTACCTTATTCATGATCATGATGATGCTACCTCATACTCATGATCAAAAATGAGCATGAGGGGTTGGAGAGATAGTTTCAGGGTTGTGAGCTCTGGCTGCTCTTCCAAAGGACCCTGGTTTGATCCCAACACCTATACGGAACCTTGCCCTCTCTTTACCTCCAGACCCAGGAGACTCAACACATTTTGATTTCACAGACACTGCAAATGCATGGTGCACAGACATAACATGCAGGCAAAACACCCATACATGTAAAATAATTTTTAAAGTGCACATTCTGATAGATACATGGAGAAAAACAAACTTTGACTCACTTTAGGGGGGAGTGGGAGCTGGGAAGAAGGGAGGGGGTGAAGAGAAAGAGAGTTGGTCATGGGGGGAACAGGAAGTTGAGTGGGTGGGGGTAGAATAGGGGGAAGAGGGAATCATAGGATAGAAGACAGATCAGGCACCAGAGTGACCTCGAGTGATCTAAAGGGATAACACCAATTGGCAATCTAAGCAATAGTGGAGAGACCACCTCGAATGCCCATTCCTGATAATGAACTTGATGTCTATAACCATCCGGGAGCCTTCATCCTGTGACTGATGGAAGCAGAGGCAAACACACAATCACTGAGCTGAACCCAAGGAACCCAGTGACAGAGAGAGAGGAGTGATTTGCAAATTGGCAAAGAATGGGCTGGCAAAACCAGCAGAGACAGCTGATCTGAACAGGGGAGAGCTCTTGGACGCCAGACCGACAGTGGGGAGGCCAGCATGGGACTGATCTGGACCCCCCAAATGTGAATGTCAGTGAGAAGGCCTGGGCAACCTATGGGGCCCTGAGCTGTGGATCAGTGTCTATTCCTGGAATACAAATAGTCATCGTGTGCCTATAGCACAAAGAGGGATGCTCTCCCAGCCTGGACTCTTAGGGGGAGTGCCTGGACCCTACCCAGAGTGAAATGACAGATTCTAGATATCCCCTATGTGGAAGGATTTGGCAATAGGGTGGGAGGGTGGGGGGAAGGGGAGTGCGGGAGGAGGGGAGGGAGAGGGAACTGGGATTGACATGTAAAACAAGTTATGTAAAATTAAAATAAAAAATGATAATAAAAGAAACTGAAAAAAAAATCAATAGAGCCATTACAGAAGAGTATGGAATTTCCTCAAAAAACTTAAAAAACAGAACTGTATATGACCCAGCAATCTGACTACTCAATATGTATCCAATGGAAATGAAACACATATGTCAGAGACATTCTTACTCACACACATTTACTGTGGTGTTGTTCACAACAGCCTCCAAAGGGAAGCAGTCTAAAATTATATAGTAATAAATATTCATATAGCATATTATTCATTAACAAGATGAAAGTCTGTAACTGCAACTGCATAGAGGGAACCAAATACACAAAATATAAGTACATCATGATCTCACCCATATGCAGAATTAAATGTTCACCACATAGAACCTTAGTATTGGGTACTATAAGACAGGCTTTTAGTTAGACAGCAACGAGATGCTCTGGTGTCCTACTGTCCAGTATGATGGCTATTTTAAAAAGCTTCAAGAGGCTTTGAATGTTTTCACAATAAGCAATGATAAATGTTTGAGAGGCTAGGTCTGTTCAATCTGACTAAAACATCACAAGATATATGCATGTGTTGAAACACCACATAGAATTCCATTAAGATGTGTACTTTACATTTTTATGTGTATTAGGATACATTTCATTTAAGATTGTAAAAGCAACAAAGCTAAATATAGCAAATATATAGTAAATGAACACTGTATTTAAAGAATGAAAGCATTAATAGAAGCTCACAAGGCAATGACAAAAGGTTTAGAAACTGCGACATCTAGTCTTTAAGGGTGCCACCTCACCAAAGTTGCCTTCCAGCACCCACATTCATGTCAAGGGCTCTCCCTTTTTTAAGTCGCAGTTTTATTAATTCTTTGAAAATGAGCATTTCGCGCACTCCTAATGTATATTTTGATCATAGCCACACTTTACTGTTTCCCGTAACTCTTTCGGGTCCACCTCAGATCTACCTTCTACTCCTCAGCATTTCCACTTTTGTCTCATCCTTCATTTCTTTTTTAATAACCCACTGAGTCTAATTTGCACTGACCAAATACATGTGGCATGGGGTCATTAGCTGGAGCATGGTCAAGCCACAAGAGGCCAAACTAAAGTTAGGAAGCTCTTGAGTTCCTCCCTACTTGAACTGGGATGTGGACTTGTTTGATCTTGTACAACTCTAGCATAGGCAGCCAGGGCTGTTGTGAGTTCATGCATGCAGCTGTTCTGTCATGTACAGAAGACAACGTGTCTCTTTGGTCCTCCATAACCTCTGCTCTTACAATCTTTTCTGCCCCATTTTCCAAAATAACTCCCTGAGCCTTGGGATCATCTAAGCTTTCTATGTGAGGCATAGAATAGATATTATTGACCGTACAGCTCTAAAATGATAAGCCAGACTCATCCAAATCAACATATCCATGTAGCCATGCCTATATCAAGGTATGACGCATTTCCCTTATCCCCCTCTGAGACAAATAAATGCTTTTGCCAAAGGAAAGCATGGTTCTGACCTCTACAGAACACATTTATCTGTCTGTATACTTTCCATCTTCATTCAAGCCATGTCTGATCTTCTTAAAAAGTGAATTTCATCCATTCACCAAGTGTAGCTCAATCTGCTTATTAATTCTATTGTTAATGGCTACTGGAATATTCTCCAAATTTGAGGCCATAGTGAAGAAAAGGTTTATCAGGTTAAACTACCAAACCCCATTGTAGCTCAAGTTACTGCTCCTGTCTGGCCTCCACTTGCTTTTCCCCCGTTACTTCTGAAGTTGTACCTAATGGACTTTACATTATAAGGAAAGCACCTGAATGAAGCCAAGAGTGGTATTTTATGGTTTAAATATGAAATGGGTCCTACAGCAGGCTCACGTATTTGAACACTTGGTTGCCTGGTGCTAGTTCTGTTTGGGGAGGTTGTGGGACCTTTGGGAGTGTGACATAGCTAGTAGAAGCTAAGTTTCTGGGGGAAAGCATGGAGGTTTCTCATTCTATCCTCAGATCTCTGCTTGCTATGCTATTGGAAAAGCTGATGCTACAATCCCCATGGCTATAGACCAGCATTCTCCATCTGTCAGGTCTTCTCCATCTTAACAGAATGGTACCGCCTGAAACTCTAAGCTGCAATCAACCCCTCTTCCTTCAGGTGCTTCTGACTGGCATGCTGTTAGAGCAACAAGAAAGGCAACACACCAGATCTTTGGGATTTTGGTCTTTGTGTGACTGCCTGAGTTAAACTTCCATAGTATAGTTGTGAGGAAAACCCAGAGCTAAACCCAGTACTGAGGGAGGAATTCAAAGACAGTGCAGAGTCAAGACTGTGTACTCTACAAAGCTACTCCAAGAACCCGGGATTAATTCGGTTAGTCAATATATTAAAAAAACACGTTGGAAAAACTAGAGTTCTTTGACATTTCTACTGAGTATTTTAAAAGTCCATTTAAATAAGTGATCCCAGTTGTGTGCTGTGGATAGCAGGGCCTTACATATTTCGAGGAAGAGGGCTATGTGGTCGTATAAATATTTATAAATGAACATAGTCCTAAGAATTAACATTAGGTTTCTCATCCAGTGGGAAGATGGTAGCATATATAGGAAAAACACTTACAGAACGTCAAGGCCATTTGCATAGTTTTATCTACCACCTGTCTACTCAGCAGTGACTCAGAATTCCTCTCCAGTCCCAGTGTCTTTTATAAGCCCCAGACACAGATTTACATACGCCTCCTCCACAGAAACTCAATGAAGGCCACTTGTATTTTTCAATAGCTTTATTGTTCTGGATTCCCCCTTTCTTAACTGCATCTAGAGTAGTATGGACCTGCCAGTCTTCTTCCCCAGAATTCTCATCACGCTTCTTTCATAGATTCTTATGCCTGTTTCACTCTTGCCCTAAGGTTTGTTCCTAAGGTGTGTGTGTGTGTGTGTGTGTGTGTGTGTGTGTGTGTGTGTGTGTGTGTTCTTTTCACCACAGAAGCTAGTCCTCCTGAAGCGCTTCTTGCTGTTACCAGGCCAAACCGGCTGTAGCAGTCCCTTCACTCCAACACCTTTGACTGAAGCAGGTACGAAGTATGACTGCAGTGTTTATTTTCACGTTTTTCTCTCTTTCTATCTTCTGCTGGATTTTTTAATGTTTTTTGAGGGAAGGAACAGTTTTCTCTTTCTAATGTCCAGTAGAATTTTTTATCTTAAATCTTTATGCGATAAAAATAAGCCTCTCTGAAAATGTCATAACGAAATCATTACATATGCTAATAAAATGCCTTTATATATAAAAAAATCATCCTCTCTCTCTTCCCCTTTCTCCAAGTCCTTCTGACTCTTCTCAAGTGTAGGAAGTAGATGCATATTTATGTATTGTGAATGTGTGTGCAATTTTAGAAGCCAGTTTAATGAATGGGTTGAGTTTCGCACCAACCTACAAGCAGTACAGAAGGCAGTAAGTAACCACTTTGTTCCAAATGCCTAGCTGAAGTTAAAGCACAGAGATTGGGGGGAAGGACCCAAGAGCCACCTGGTAGGGGGAGCAGAACCGGTGCACATTCATGCATAGAGAGGAGGGGACTGTGCTCCACTGTGCTATGCTGCTGGCACAGAGATAGACAGCCATGTGGTTCTTCTGAGCAGATGTCAAAGTGAGAGGAAAAAATAGCTTCTTCTCTCGAGAGACTTCATAGCCTTCAGATAGGTCCCCTTTCTGGATATCTTTTTCAGTTATTGAATAGTAGATCAATGACAATCCTTTGCCTGGATCCTGCCGGTACCAGTACATGGTATCATGATTAAAGTCCTGTTTGCATTCGAAGGTCAGTCTCTGCCCTTGCCGTCCGATCAGGAACTTGGGTGTCTGAGTAACGCCACCACGTGTGGTTTCTATGGAAGGAAAAAATATAAGTGAGTATGGAAGTAGGCAGAGAGGGTCCTGATGCTGCTGTCCAGAGAAGGGGGTTTAAGATGTGCACCTGGGGACAGGAAATTGCCCCAGAGCCCAGAACTCACCTGCTGCAAGAAGGCAGAGGGCTACCCAGCAGAGTGCCTGCTTGCCCATAGTGGGGAAGGAGTTTCCCTTGACTCTGAGCATCAGTTGAAAGAGAAACAAGGAAAGCAGCTTGGCTAGGGGCTCCACCTGGCTAATTATGGGGACTCGAGAGGAAGGAAGACTCTTAAGATGTTCAAAATGGGCTTCCTAGTGTGGCAGAAGGGGAGTGAGACCAGAGAGCTAGGCACTGGTTCCATGCGTCTGAACCAATTCTGGGAGGAGGGACTGTTCTAGCTCAGACCAGCCCTTTGGGTGTCGTCTTTGGGGTTATGTTGTTTTGACTACCTCGGGAGGATTATAGACCCTTGCTTATACGTGGTTGTAGTGTTTGTCTTCAGTACCTTCAGTTCTTCCAGGGTCTATGCAGTATCTGTGGTGGAATTGTGCGACAGTGTGGTGCAGAGGCCAGCCGCATCTAACACCTGCGAAGCTCTGGACCCATCTCATCTCTATGCTCACTTTGGTCCCTTCTCACTCTCTTTCCTCTTATTGTTTCTACCTCTTTAAGCCCTTTTCATCCCCACATGTGTTTTGATGCCATTCTTAAAGGCTCCTTCCGAAATTTTTATTTGCAACAGTTCTTTCTTCCAAATGTTTTTTTATTCATTTTGATGGTTTTTCTTTCACGCCTTTCTTGAGTTCTGTCAATTTCTTTGGTTTCTTTTGGTTTTGCTGCTTTTCTTTTTACCTTTATCGATAGGGCTCTCTCTCCCGCCTACTCATGCTGTTGGGAGACTCTTTAAAAGTATTCTTTGCTATCATCCTTCTAAATCTCCCTACGTCTTGTGTATGGAATCATTTGTTGCTTGTTATGAGTCCTCTTTATTTGTGTTTCTCTTTGAATTTTATATAAATAGCATTTAAAAGAATACAAATTCTTTCAGTGACCTTTGTTCCCTGAATCTATGCACCTACCTTAGATTATTCTCTGTACTCGTGGATACATGCCTAAGTTTGAAAGATCTTCCTTTTTTATGTTTTTTGTCTCCTTCTTTAATAAAAAGTATGTCAATATTTATTTTCTTTTCCAGGTACTATAAAAAGATGACTTAAAAAGCAAGTCAGTGTCACACCCAGCTGGAATTGCTAGGCTTTGGAGGCACTGGAATGATGGACATAATCATCTTTGTTCTTGGAGTTTGCCTGGTCCAGCCTTCAAACTCATATCCTCCAGCTCTGATGGAAAGCACAGTCCCTCTCTCTACCCCAATACTCCAAAGGAATGAGACTTTTTTCTTCTGGTGGCAAAATTCTCAATGTGTACAGCCCTTGCCAACAGGTATTTGAGGTGCTTCTCATGACTCACCACCAGAGGAAAGTAAGTCAAACCTGTTGTGAGATATTGCTTCATACCCATTAGGAAAACTATCATCAAAAGAGAAGACATGACAAGTGTCTGCTGAAGTGTGAGCAAGGAGAGCCTCCTCTTCTGTCTGTGAAAAGTAGATTGGTGTAGCCACAACCAAAAGCATTATGGATGTGCTCAAAGAAATTAAAAATATTGCTACCAAAAGACTGGACAGACACTCACCTGGACATGTGTATGGAAAAAATAAGCTGAGTATCTCTTTAAAAAAATTCTGAGCTCTCCTGCTCACCAGGGCACTAATCATAATAAACAGGATAGTAAATAATTAAGTGTTCATGGTTGTACAAATAGACTAGGAACTGTAGAAATGTGGTAAATATATGCAACATGGAGTTATTTGACCTTAAAAAAGACATCCTGAAAATTTCCACAAAATTATTTAATATGGAAGACAGTATACCAAGGGAGACTAATCAGACACATGAAAAATGTAGTGCATACTCTGACTTATATTTAGAAAGATAATGTCAATACAAAAATCAATGTTGCTGACAATAGGAAAATGTACTTCAAAGCATTCAATGTACAGGTCTCTACGATGTATGAGCCAAGAGTCCTTAGTACTGTAGTCAATATCACATCTTGTTTAAGATTCTTATTCAATAAAATTTAACTGCCACTGTCACAAAAATAAAGTAGCTCTGTGAGATGGTGGGTGAGTGTTTGTGACCCTGTCAACCATGTCACTCTCTAAATGTGTCCTATTATTAATCATAAACAATGAAATCTATTTAAATAATGTTAACATGAAAATGTAACGAAAGAAATAGCCTGCTTTGTGAGTCTAACACTGCCATCTGCAGGAGGAGGAGGGAGTGTAGAAAGAAGGCCAATGTGAAGCTTTGTGTGTTTACGCTGAGGTGTGTGTGTGTACCCACATGCCCTTGGGTGTGGTGCAGTAATCAGTGATGAGCCCAGCCATAAAAGGAGGAAACTGGATTTCCTTTGATCTTTCATATAGATGAACCATAAATGCAGCTGAGTTTGAATACATATCTCTCATTTCTGAAATATCCTTGTTTGCAGACCAAAGTCTGTTGGATGTACTTTTCTTCTTGTAATCTTTGGACCTTTTCAGCCTTTCTAACCTTTTGCCACCTCTAACATTAAATAAGTATTTAAAGTCTGTCAGTTGTTTACATATAAGAACCAAACCAAAACAAAAAAATTCCCTCTTTCAAATTCTCTTCAGTAACCCTTTAAGAGAGATCTCCCTGAATTAAGTTGAATTTATCAGATGAGACCAGGTGTGTTCAGGGTGGATGTGACAGTTATGTAGCTTGAATTCTTATAGGACTCCTAACAGTGGAAGCAGGGCTTGTCTCTGAGTCCTTTACGGGCTTTTGGGACCCTATTCCTCATACCAGATTGCATTGCTCAGCCTTAACACTAAGGAAGGTGCTTAGCATGCTATGTTTTGTCAATGTACATTGGAGGACTGCCATTTTGTGGATAGAAACAGAGAAGGAGTGGATGGGTCAGGAGGCAGTGAGAGGCAGGAGGAGGGACTGAGAGAATAAGAGTGAGAGGAAATTACAGTCAGGGGGTAAAATAAATAAGTAAATAAATACATAAACTACAGTCAATTCAAGGAACAATGCAAGTGAATAATGCTAATGTTCAATTAAATGAAATGGAAAGATAATAAACCAGTTCATTATAAAAAATAAGATGAATTCATCTTTGATGAGAAATCTGAATAACTTATACTAAGTAAGTATAAATCATTAATTTCCTTTTTTGCCTTGTCATTCTCCATCACTGAGAATCACTGGATTGCTTATAATTTCATGAGTTACTGAGTTTTGTGAGGTCTGGGGCCACTGATCTTCTCTAGGATGCAAGAGACCAACATCTACCCATTTTCCTGCGTAAGATGATGTCAAGACCGTCTTCACTGCAATGGGCATTTATCTGCCTCTGCTTCCTGATGGTGGATGCAGTGTGAACAGATGTTTCAATCTCCTGCTGCAGGAAAACAATGCCGGGCATAAGAGCTCACATCTGTATCTCTGCAGCTCCCCTGCTCAAACTCCAAAGGAATTTGTTATTGCAGCTCTTCAATAAATAGGCTTTTCCCCTTTTACAGAAATTGAGGCAGGGGTAGAGCAGCCCCTGCACTCAAGCTCTAGCCCACCTCATATCCTCCATGGACTTTAGCATTGGAATTTGTTGTTATCACCATTTATTAAAAGAAAAAAACATTTGGTGATTTCATTTATATCAAAATATCAATTATCTATATCTATCTATCTATATCTATATCTATATATGTGTGTATATATATATATATATATTTCCATATGACACCTCAAATAGCCCTTAGGTTTTAGCTGTCCCTCTTCCATCCCAGTCCACGTTTGGTCCTCCAATTCCAGCGAGCTCACCCCCATTCATCTGTAAGTATCTATTCTATTTCTCCTTCCTAGAGAGACCCAGTCCCACCCTGATCCCTTGCTCTCTACCTAACCTCTGTGATTCTTTTGGATAGCTTGCTTATCAATGACTTACCAGCCAACAAACACATATAAACTAACACATACCACGCTTATCTTTCAAAAGAGGGAACAAATAGGGACCCACAGCCAGAAAATATTCAGAGTGTAAGAGACCTTGGAACACCCAGCCTTAAAGGGGATATCTCCATTCAATGCCTCCTCCCGGGACTCAGGGAACTCTGAAAAAGAGGAGGTTGAAAGAGTTTAAGAGCCTGAGAGGATGAAGAACACAAAGGAAAGATCTAACAGGACTTGACTGGACCGTACCAGACGGGGTCCCAGAGCTGAAAGGGGAAGTGGATACTCACCCCCCCTCCTTAACACAGAAGCTATCTCCAGTTGATAGAGACTTGCAGAATGAAAATTCATTTTCTCTAAGGGAGCCTTACTGGGGAAGCAAACCACGCTTTAGGTCAGGCCCCATACACAGCAATTGATGACCAATACAAAACTGACTCAACAGCATCTTGGGAAGGTTGGGGTCAAATAATGTTAAGCCAGGCTTTGTTGCTGGTGGTGGGATCTTAGGGTTTTGTTTTTCTGCCTTGCAGCTTCATTGTATATATATATATATATATATATATTATGTCTCCTAGTTTGGGGTTTTTATGGTATTCTTGTATGTGCAAATATTTGTGCCTGTGCATTTATAGGTATTATAATATTGCTTGTGCTTTTTCTTTGGCTTTTTAAATTTTGGTTAGTTGTTTTGTCATATTTTGATTTGCATGCTTTTTTATCTTTTATTTTTTATTTTTTATTTTTTTTTCATTTTTTATTTTAATTTTAAATAGCTTGTTTTACATGTCAATCCCAGTTCCCTCTCCCTCCCCTCTTCCCGCACTCCCCTTCCCCCCTCCCTCCCACCCTATTGCCAAATCCTTCCACATAGGGGTTATCTAGAGTCTGTCATTTTACTCTTGGTAGGGTCAAGGCACTCCCCTAAGAGTCCAGGCTGAGAGAGCATCTCTCTTTGTGCTATAGGCACATGAAGACAGTTTGTATACCAGGGATAGACACTGATCCACAGCTCAGGGCCCCATAGGTTGCCCAGGCCTTCTCGCTGACACTCACATTTGGGGGGTCCAGATCAGTCCCATGCTGGCCTCCCCACTGTCGGTCTGGGGTCCAAGAGCACTCCCCTGTTCAGATCAGCTGTCTCTGCTGGTTTTGCCAGCCCATTCTTTGCCAATTTGCTCATCACTCCTCTCTGTCACTGGGTTCCTTGGGTTCAGTTCAGTGATTAGTTGTGTGTTTGCCTCTGCTTCCATCAGTCACAGGCAGAAAGAGATAGTTCCAGATGTGAGGAGAAGTAGGGAAAAACTGGGAGGCATACAGAGAGGGGAAGCTGTGCTCAGAATACATTGTATGAGGAAAAAAACATTTTCTATAAAAGATTTTTAAAAGCTCAATCAACTAAAAAGACAAAAATATAGCCAAAATATTACATTGACAGCCACTCAATGCCACGCCAGTCTTCTCAGCAGTTAAAATTTCTACTTTCTTCAAGCAATGTGCATTAGTTACTTCCGCACAACTGTGACCAAGTTATCTGTTGTAAACAGCTTAAGGGAGGAATGATTTATTTAGCTCACAATTACAAAAGACCCAGTCCAGGACAAATGAACCTTACATATCAACATGGAGGAAGTAGACAGAGGGGGGATATTTTACGTCCTGGTGAACATAAATCAGAAGGGAGTCATATGAGAGGGGCCACAATTGGAAACAACCCCCAAGGACACGCCTCCTTTAACCTAGTTCCCCCCACCAGACCGGTCTCTCACAGCACAGCCCACCACTCTGCACACTCTATTCTACATTAAACTCCATCCTTGGCTTAACCCAGTCACTGACTGAGTCAGAGCCCTTACAGCCAAATCATCTATGGAAACACCACAGTCACACCCAGATATTTCATAATCACCCAGATATTTCTTATTCACCTAGATATTTCCTAATCCATTCCAGGTGACATTGAAGACAATGATACCAGAGTTTTCCAAAACTGTTCACAAGTTCTGCAGTCACAGAACAGGAAGGAGGATCAGAGCTCGGACCTGTGCCCGACGCTGGGAAATGCACTCAGCCTTATCTTTCTCCAGATAGCTTGCTGCTTTTTATTTTCCTGGTATCATCTATGTTATCGGGCTTCCTATTTTTCTGCCTCTAATAACTAACTCTTAGCTATCTGTACACTGGAGTTTTCTCTATCTGCTTGTTCTAACTCCTTTGTCACCTTTAATTAAACATGATGATAACGGTGAATTAAATTCAATGAAAACATTACTTCAAATATCAGACAAGCAATCAGCTTACTGTACATCTTACTGACTCTCCTTGAACAACTTCAATTAGTAAAATGGGGAAACGTTCCGGGTTTGCTTGCTTGCCTGCTTGTTTTCCTTTCTTTCTTTCTTTCTTTCTTTCTTTCTTTCTTTCTTTCTTTCTTTCTTTCTTTCTTTCTTCCTTCCTTCCTTCCTTCCTTTCTTTCTTTCTTTCTTCCTTTCTTTCTTTCTTTCTTTCTTTCTTTCTTTCTTTCCTTCTTTCCTTCTTTCTTTCTTTCCCTCTCCCTCCCTCCCTCTCTCTTTCTCTCTTGGGTGAGGGAGAAAACTAAGGAGAATACCGTGTGCATGAAGCATATAGCATTAGTATTTCCTATAATATGGTGCCATGCCTAATTAACCCTTCTTACACCGAATCCTTGACTCTTATCAAGTGTTCCTCTCAGACACAACTTCTTCAGCTGTGAGTTGCAAGCCCACATGATATAACAGAATGTGAGAAATCATACCAAAAAATAGTAACAGTAAAACATTTCTGATTGTTCAATGAACAAAAGAAGAATTTAAATCAAACACAGAGGTGACAAGGGAGGGAGTGTTTTATGATTACCGTATCGCTTTATAATGTCTGTTTTTCTTCAGAACACCATTATCACCAGGGATGTTAATTATAAGAATATATGTGTATATGTATATGTATATGTATATATGGAGATATTCTCATGCGACTGTTTATAAGGTTATGATGTTTACTGTTCAGATCTTGTTTAGCTTGGACAAAGGATCTAGGATCTGTCATCCGCAGTTATCCTTACTTTCACGTTTTCCTTGGGAGTATTCTCCTGAGATGTATCTACCTCGATGGCATGCTCATCTACTTAGTTTTTGTTACATTTTTATAATTTACTTATTTTTTTAGTTTCATTTTACATTCCAACTACAGTTCTCCCTCCTCTCACCCATCTTCCTGCCCCCTCCCTTTATTCTCCTAGCCCAGCCCCTGTCCACTCCTCCCCATGAGTAAGGGCTCACATAAAGTCTGGCACATCAAGTTTGGGGTGGGGTCAAGCCTCTCTCCCATGTATTAAAGCTGAATATGGCATCCCATCATAGAGAATGGGCTCTAACAAGCTAGCTCAGGGTTACATCCTGGTCCTACTGCCAGGGACCCTCAGATAGTCCAAGCTTCACAACTGTCTCTCAGATATGGAGGGCCTAGTTAAGTCCCACGGAGTCTCCAGCTGTCGGGCTAGAGTTCATGGGTTAAGTGAGCTTGGTTCAGCTGCATGTGTTGATTTCTCCATCACGATCTTGACCTCCCTTGCTCATGGATTCCCTCCTCCCTCTCTTCCACTAGATTCCCAGAGCTCGGCCTGGTGCTTGGCTGTGGGTCTCTGCATCTGATTCTGATGATTACTGGATAAAGGCTCTATGATAATAGTATTCACCAGTCTGATTACAGGGGTATGCCAGTTTGGGCATCCTTTCCACTATGGCTAGGAGTCTTATCTGGGGTCGTCTTGTGGATTCTTGGGAGTTACCCTGGCACCAGGTTTCTCCCTAACCCCATAGTGGCTCTCTCTGTTAAGTTATCTCTTTCATTGTCCTTTTACTTCTTCCCTCCCCACTTCAACCATCCTGTTCCCTCATGGTCTCACTCACTTCCCCTTTGCCACCCTCCTTACCCCGTTTGCCCTGGAGATCTCATCTAATTTCCCTTCCCAGGGTGACGGCCATCTACTTGTAGACAGATGCCTGTAAGAGATGTATCCACAGACACTTTCTTCTCTCAGCATAATTTTTGTAATCTACTAATGGTTTCCATTTAGTCCTGTCAACAGCACCTCATACCCAAGTATGAGCATCAGCAGTGTATGGGTTTTTTCCTCCGAGATGACTTTCTTCTAAAAGACTTTCATCTTGAGGAATTGGCAATTTCTCTTTCACATTAGGCAAGTAGCTCTTTGGTGACTGGGCTGAATATATATGGATTGTTTTAAAATACAAAATACGTCAAAAGTTCGCCAAACACCAGAGATTTGCCTGTTTATAACATTAGGTCTTTATTGTCCTTAATATAACAGGCCTGTGCTTGTAAGAATCCAACTTAGTTTAAAAATATTGGGTGAGTTATTTTCTATTTTTCCACTGAAGATGAAAGAATTGATCACAGGAAAATATCACAAACTGAATGTTGGGCACGTGTGACCACAATCCCACTCTTGACATAACTGCCAATGGTTTTGTTGGTTTATGGTCAACTTCAGTCTGTGGATGAGGAATGACAGCCATAAACCCACTTCCTACTGTTGCAGGAAGGGAGGGGTGGTTTCTAGACTTGGGTCTGAGAAAGAAAAAATGTTTGTGAATGGAGGGTAGGTGACGTTGTAGCACTGTGTCTCTGCTGCTAGCACAGAGGTACATGGCAGAATCCCCTAGGCCTGCAGAACGGATGTCAAGAGAGCAGAAGGAATTGTTGGGCCTGCTGGATTGGAAGTTATCAGAAGTGTCTGTCTCCCTGTTCAATGTTGTATCATAGTAGTAGAGCAGAAACTTGAGTCCTTGGCTTGGCTTCTGATGGTACCAGTACATGGCATTGTGATTCAGATTCTGAGAACAGCTCAAATTCACTGGTTTTCCAACCCTGGCAACCTTGAATCTTGGGTTCTGTATGACCATTCCATCCACACAAGCTGCAGAGAGAGAGAGAAAAAAAGAAGAGCCTGAATGACTTAAGGTGGACACCAATTTGACATCATGCAACGCAGGCCCATGACCGCCCAAATCAGTGATTTACTTCCTGCTCGGGACTCACCTGCTCCAAGAAGACAGAAGATCACATGAGGAAGAAATATAGGGCCCCTGGAAGGGCTGGAACAGGAGGGAGACATTTGTCTGTTTAAAGCTTTAAGCTGACCTCTGATCCTTGGAGAGGTGCAAGTTCTGAGAGTCCCTGGTCCCTTACAGGAAGACCTGCCTGTGACTTCACTAGGGTGGGACCATTGCTCATTGCAATCATGTGCTCAGCTTACTGCTGGTAGGGAAGTCTAGCTGGGCCACACCAGGTGTGGAGCAGAAACTCACCCTCAGTGTCATTTACTGCTTCTCTGGAATGATTTCAGGGTTTGTTGCTTCTGCATCTCTCTCATGTTCGTCTGGGACTTTTCCATCTTGCGTCCAGTTTTTTCAAGCAGTGGCTTAGAGTCCATCCAGTCACATGTCCTGTCTTCCTGACCATAGACACCTGCAGCCGTATATGAATAAGCTTTCTCGGGACTGTGTTAGATATAGGTGAATTGTTCTTAAATTTGTTCTAGATAATGTCAGTGAGTGGTGTGAATAGCTGACACTATTAAAAATATGTTTCACATCATAAACTTATTTTTGAGGAGGAAAATGTATTGACTAAAAGCAATATATAAAGTCCAATAGCAGTATGAGAAAACAAGGCCCTGGTCCCTCATCCTCTTTGTGTCATAGAGAAGAACCCTGTGCTCTGCTCTTAGTTCTTCTGGTCTCCAGTACCCAGCTGCCTTCCAGAGCCATATTCTCTCCAGACAGAGGTAGAATTTCCTCTACCAGGTTAACCATAGAAATCCTAGACATCCTGGCTCAGGGAACGCCAGCTGTTTAAAGAAGTTGCCACCGCTGACTTATTCAAATTTAATTCACTTGTGGCTTTTATATATTATGGAGAATGAAAAGACCCGAAAGCTCTCATTTCCTCTTACTCCAAAAAGCTGCCTTTTGTCATAGCCCTCTCTGTCATTTAACTGTCTAATAATACCTATTGTTTGTAACACTGAGACATACTTTAGGCTTAATTAAAATAGAAACTAGTGATTAGAGTGTGCTTGAAAGTTCTGGAAAACCGTTGTACAACATAGTGACTGTGATGAATCATACTGTATTGCATGCTTGAAAATTGGTAGGAACGCAAGTCTTAACTGTTTTCACACAAAGAAAAATGAAAGGAAGAGAACGGAATCTATGATGAGTATGTTATTTAGCTTTAAGTAGTAACCATGCCATAAATATACATACATCAAGGTGTTCTCTGAAAATTTTAACGTGTATCATTTTTATCTGTCAGTCATACCTCAAAAATGCTTAGACAATTGAATAAATGAAATAAGAAAAATAAGATGCTTAAGGTAACGGAAATACAAAGGGAACAGTGCCCTATGATAGGAGGTAATATCAAGTGGTCATATTCTCAGATGTCGAATAACTTAATTAAACTCTCACTGACCGTGCTTTGGAGTCAAACAGTTCACCCACCAAGAGCCTGGGTTTCTTGGTAGCTGCCATTTTCCATTATAATTGTGAGATTAAAAAGTGGAAGAATAAATGGGAAGCTTGCTATACATTATGGTCACAAATTACATAGTATAACAAAAGAAAGAGTACTCTGCATGTATCCTCTACCTGTAATTTTAAGTAAAAATGTATGCCTAAAATATTTTGTGCTTATAATTCTAAAGAAGGTAATGGGCAAGTTACAGGTAGGGAATGTATTCATGGTATTGTGAAAAATTTGAATATCCCCACTTATACATAGAAAAAATATCGTGCAGATGGACTAAAATGTCAAACATTCACAATTAGAATAGGAAAATGGGATTTGAATAGTTTGGGAAAATTGAAATTTGAGGCCACTGTCTATTATCCATTTTATTTAAAGCAGTAGTAAATCAATTGGATGATAATTTGAGGTACTAAATCTGATCAGGCTAGGGAAAATAAAAATTTATTTATTGCAGGGCAGGGTGATTTACAAAACATGGACAACAGAAGGGAGGGATATCTAAATCTAAACATTTAAAAAGAACTATTGGATCAAGGTTAATGTATCCTTACTTACACACAAATAATTTCATAGCAGAATTTCTACAGCTGAGATTGCTCTACAAATGCTCTGGACTGGCTGACACACACCTGGAGATACTGTTAGCTATGTTCCCAATTTTAAACTTCAGATCTGATCTAGGTAAAAAGGTTATCTTTAACCTCTGAGAAAGGATGTGGTTAATCCACTCAACCATGGGAATTTATAAGGCATTTGGAAATTTACACAAGCTATAAAAATGTAACCTGGTGTGCCTTGATCACCCCATTTCTATCCTCGCCACCGAGAACCCTACAAACCATCAGTGAATACGTTATGATGCACTGTTCTTATCACCATAACGGAGTGTTTCCAATATGGTTATGAGAAGGTATTTGAAGGTGTAGGCTGACAGTCAACAGTCACAAACCTTCCAGTCCAGCACGTGAGCTAGAATCTTGCTGTTACCCCAGGGTAGCATATACTTGAAAGCAAAATAAAATACCAGAAATGAAAATTTTGACCCTGGCATTAGGAAACTCTGGCATTTGGAATCTCTCAAAACCAAAATATCATCATCCACGTTTTCTTGTGTACTTATGTATTCCAAGGATGAAGTCAAGTGGTTTCCCCTTCCTAGTGAAGGCAGCATGGAGACAGGGTGCTGTGAGTGCTTCCGGATTTGAGAGGGTGGGGTGATGCTGCCTGCATTTGAAGATCTTGGATGGACACAGTGCCTTGGCATCTAGCAAAGAAGCAAGTACCAGTGTCCTCTAGGTCCTCCAGGCCTTCAAGCATACTGTTTACTTCATTCATTCATCCCAGCTGTTTGCTTTTGTATTTCCCAGCTAACACAATATTCACATCAAGAAGACATGAGAACTTGCCTCCATTTTCGCATTATTGATACTCACCATTGCAGGATATTTGATCCACACTGTGAACCCCAAGATTGTGTTATTTTTGTAGTGTGGCCCAGTTCTGGCACACACCTTTAATCCAAGAGCTCTCTGCTTGAATGTTGTGAACAGGATTAAATCAAGTCAACCATAGGTCAGGAGGCAGAGCAAGCAGGTAGTTCACACACACACACACACACACACACACACACACACACACAGTGTATGACGGTGTCAGGAGGACAGAAAGATAAACAGGAAGTGGATGGGAAGGACATTCAGTTTCAGGAGTTGGGTTTGAGACAGCATAGGGGAAAAGCTTTTTTTCTGGTACATCAGTGGAGGAGAAAGGTCAGCTAGGTGCTTTCTCTGCTACTCTGAGCTAGCAGGTTTTCACCCCAGCATTTGACTCCCAAGTCTTTATTGATAAAATGGAATGATTGAGATTTTTGTTAAAAACAATAGTGCACAATGACTAGAAATTTTTGGAGGGGAAGTGATACTGCAGTTGAATCTTAAGAGAGGATCTGAGATTTGCTGGGGGACATGTAAAGGCATGTATGAGATGGGACCTAAGAATCTCACACTCATTTAAGATTGCTGCTGTTTGAGAAGGGTATTAGATTTAAAAAAAAACGAAGACTAGATTTGCAAGCAACAATACTAGGACTTAAGTTTGGTCTAATATTATTTGGTAGAACATGCCGATGTACATCAGATTTCCTCTGACTGCTTATAGCAGATCTCCTTGTATTTCTAGCTCTGAACCCAAGGAGATCACCCAGTTCAGTCCCAGGTCCCACACAGCCCACAGCCTTAGACGTATCCAGGCAGTAGGGTAGAGTATAGGGTGGCCATAATGCTTCCCACATTGGAGGCATAAAATGTGAGGATGGAAATAAATACCTGAGATTATCTGAAAGACATAAGTGAACAGGTGAGGACACGATGCCAAGTGAAAGTGTCATCACTCAGCACTGGAAGCCCTTAAGGAAGCTGGGTGTTTTAAGGAGAGGAGATAAAATCAGGTGGGGAAGCCATAAGGCAAAGCAGCAAGGGATGATCCTTCTTCCTGTACTCAGTCTTCCGCTCAAAAAACATACAAACAGCTCACCGAATGACACATACACTTAATCTTAGACTCATTCACCCTTGTGAAAAACATGTGAGGAACCCCATGAACCAACTGCTCACCCACTGCCCCCACCACCACCACATACCTTTCTCCACACACACACCACACACACACACACACACACACACACACACACTTTCCTACAAGATGTGTTTTTTTTAAATGTGATGCTCATTAGCATAAGTTCTTGTCTTCTCTAGGAACACAGAAGACATTAAGCCCACATCCTTCCTGTTCTGAGAACTCCCCAGGAACACCTCTGAGAACTGTTTCTGGGAGATGGACAGGGAAGGGAAAGCATATAGGGTTTCTGCCCCAGTTGGATGTGATTCTGTAGCTCTGTGACTAAGCTGCTGGCACAGAGATACACAGCTGAGTCCTGGGGCTGTGCTGCCTGGATCATCAGAGTGGAGAGCTTCGAATTGGGCATCTGAGCTGAGAATCGTTCCTTGGGCATCCCTTTGTCATCTATAGGAGCCTGGTTGCGAAAGAAAATCAGGAATTCCATTCCCTGCATAGTGGTCTGCTTGTACCAGAAAACACTATCGTGTCCTGAAATTGGTTCACATCTCAGAGTTGCTTCTTGTCCTTTCTCTGTCACTTTGGACCTGGGTGTTTGGGTAACGCCAGCAACTGTTGGTTCTGAAAAGAAACAGAAAGTAGAGAATAAAAAAAAATGTAATTGCAACCATAACAAGCAGTGTCCAAAACTGCAGATTCTTTTATTTCCAGAAACTCACCTGCTCTCAAGAAACAAAGGACCATGCTGAAAAGGAGCCTGGTGATCATAGCAAGATGAGGCAGTGGCTTTACTCCAGAAACCCCACGTAAGTCTGAGAATGCAGACTGAAGTCCCTAGGACCTCTGTCTGCCCAAGGTGGAGCATGGCCTGCTGGTAACATCAGAGGACCTCATTTCAAAAGTGAGCACCGATCCTCTACGGAAGAAAAACTGAAATAAACAATTGCTGCACTACACGAGTGGGTGGTACATCCAAAGACTCAAAGCACCCCTGCAGATAGTTATTTCCTGAAGCCTTTGGGAGTCTGTGACTGTCCTATCCCCCACTCTCCACATCACGTATCACATTACCTACTGACCTACTGGACTCTTCTTCCTTTACTAGTAATGCTTAATTACTCGTTGAAAATTTTATATATGTTTTCCATGGATTTGGGTCCTATGCACACTCCTGATTAACGTCAACCTTCCCCAAGTTCCACCTGCTCCTCTTCCTCCAACGTCATGCACGACTACTATTGTTGTTGTTGGCTTTACCCTACTGAGTTAAATGAGTGCTGTGGAGAGCATAGGAGAATAATGTGATTTCTGTTATGTCAAGAGACGGCATCAGAGAGAAACAGATGACAGTCAGGCTTAGAAGTTAGGTACAGAAATATCCTTAATGGTGGAAGGTCAGCTACGTCACTCTTCTCTCTCCAGCATTAGTGCTGGCACGCACCTACGTGTATGGAAGCATGGGTATCTTTGTGTATGCATGTGTCTCTCTGTATGTATGCGTGTCTCTGTATGCGTGTGTGTGATTGTGTGTGGATGTGTACAAGCATGCATGCATGTGTGCACGCTCACGTCCTTTTTTGTACCACCTTTCCAACGACGGATCTTGATGTACCCACATCCTGGCACCCACACACGAAGACGGCAGACGCTGGATACAGGAATTAGGAGGGAAGGATAAGTGCAAATACATAGGGAACATTCAGAACCGGGCCACAGCATCATAAGCTGTGCCTACGACCTACCAAAGCATATAAAGAAGTTATAAAATAAACTATGAACAAAAAGAAAAGGGAGAGAGAAGGATAAATAACACCGAGGATGTTTGAAGAGCTGAAGGGAATCATACTATTTTATATTTACTTAAAATGTCCTCTGTGTGTGTGTCCTTGAAATGAATTTATGTAATTTGGGATAATTTTGCTCCCCCAACAGTCACAAATCATCTAATAAAAACTCCAGTACCAGGCATGAGAAATTTCCTTTCAAGTTATTGGTCAGGGAAGTCTAAGACACTCCCAAAACAATATAGGCTATTGTCGTTCCCCTTTGTTTCCCCCCAGAAGTGGGAAGCAAATGCTCATGGCTGAATAAATCACACACTTTGGACACAGGACACAACAGAATCTAGCTAGATCTGGCCTAAAGGCTTCCTCTCTAAGGACCAACTTTTACAGTTCCAGAAAGTTCACTGGAAGCTGCCAAGTGAGGAAAGCAAATAATAATAATATTGCTACCTGATGGTAAAACCTAAAAACCACAACAATAACCAACACGGCGGGGCCAGACAACTTGTGGAGCAGTGCCTGAGGAGGGGAGTGAGGATGAAAAAAGCAAGAGACAAATGACAGAAGATAGAATCAGGAGACCTCTCAGTGAATACTGTAGCGGCCCCACATTTATTTCTCATAGCCCTTTTATACCCAGGGAAATGTTTTTCTGTAACCTAGTCCAGTGTTTGTCCACATCTGTGAAAAACATTTCCCAATAGCTGTTCTGATCTTCCTGCAATGATTCCTTTACTTTTTGTTTGTTTGTTTTCTTTCATCAGAGCACAAAGCTGTCCAATAAACTCAGAGACAGAGGCTTAGAAGCGCTGTGTAGGGCAGAGGCAAGAGGCCTGCTAAGTGCCTGCCTCATTTTTTCTGTGCTTAAAACTTGTCCCCTGATCAGCACTGACTTACTGAATATTTTCTTTTAGGTTTGGGGGTTGCTTTTTATTGTTGTTTTCTTGTTTGTTTCATCAAGGACAGGTTCCCTTGTTAAACTGTGTATCTGAAGATCATATAGCTTAAATATTTTCCTTGATCTCCCCAGGAATCTCTTTCAAAACTCCCCATGTTGTGATTTTTCAGAGCTATTACTTGACAGACTTTTGGAGCCCGTCTTCTCCTTGGGAGCCATTCCAGCTTACTTCCAAGAACCTGAATTCGCCCTCTAATGGGATTTTATGGTTATCTTATTGGCCTGTCTGACTTAGTCAAACCTAAAATATACCTCTCTCTTATCTCCCCAGAAAGACAAGAAAGTTAAGTCTTTTCCCTTTCCCCTTTTAGAATCCATTCAGACTCTCCTTTCTTCCATATGATGGCATGTGTTTTCTAAGATGCTGCTTTTCCTCACAGAAAAATCATTTTCCACAAGAATAACAATTTGTAGATGATTTTTTAAATTTTAATTTCTTAATGTGAATTTGTTTATCCTTAATTTATTAGTTACAACGCTGAGAAAACTTTCTGTTTCCTACTTCTCAAGGTGGAGAATTGACTCAGTATTTCCAGCACATTCTTCAAGATGTAATCAGAGCCTATGGCATCTCTCAATTGTAAGCATCCTTTTTTTGTTTCCTTGATGGTAAGGAGGAAACAAAATTCAAAATGCAATGTAATCTCATCTATTTTCTCAGGAAATTTGAATTCCCTTTGGCATAGTGCATCAGCCACAGGTGTTCCTATAATCATCCTTTAAGCTCTTGCCATAATTGTGTTGATTGATTTTGGATTTTCTTGTATACATAGTCTAATTTCCCTTGCCTTGAGAGTCCTGTTAGGCACATTTTCTCCATAAGAAAGAGCCTGACCAATTGTGCTGACTATCACAGATTCTAAATTATTCCTGTCTGGAAGCTCACTGTTATGAATAGTTTATCTCCTTGACTTTGTAGAGACTTCTAGAAATAAAAATTCTCCTGTGATAATCCACCTGATGAGCCCATTTCGATGAGCAATTTTTCACTGTCTGAAAGACTGAATATCAGCTAGGACTTTAGTTTTCTTAATCTCTTACCATTGAACAGAGAATTTGTAATCATCCATCATTCGAGAAAATATTCAGACAACAGCAGGGGGCATTGGATAATTCTGTATGTGGTAGAGAACCCAAAAGCCTGCAGTGCCAACATGAAAAATTTATATTCCTCATTTGAAATAAACAAGTAGAGATGTTAATAGAGCTATTACTAATCTCAAGTGTTTTATCATGACATAGAGTAACCCAGTGCAAAGATAAATAGGATATGTCCATCCTATAGCTGAAGTAATTGGATTTTAAAGACATACTTTAGATGTGTGTGTGTGTGTGTGTGTGTTTGCATGCATGCACACGCATTCACAAGTACCAAGTGTGTTCAAGTTTCTGTGGAGGCCACACGTAGGCATCAAATTCCCAAGAGCTTGAGTTGCAGGAAGTTATGAGGGTCCTTACACTTGGTAGGGTACTAGGAACTGAGGTTTTCTTGAAGAGCAGCAAGTTATCTTAAGTGGTGAGACATTTCTCCAGCCTCCATGTTACACTTTTTAGAAGAAACTTCATTATTGGATTTGCATTTATATGCATAAAAACAACAATGGCTGGAGAATTACCTTACATAAATGCTTATGATCACTCTTGAGTCACCCAAAGACAGCAAGGATGTCTCCTAAAGTGTCATACCCAGCAAAGTAATTCTGTGAGACCAGCAGAGCTCTCCTCAAAATCCACTGCTTTAGAGCAAAACCCATGTGTTTACACTCTTAAATCTATGGGTTAGAGGGACACTTTTGTCACTCTTGACTCAGTATTTTTAATGCTAATTATTTTATCAAAGGGATGATTTCTAAACACGTTATACTGAAGCTTTTGTCTTGATGTTCTTAGCAGGGTCTTTCAAAGAACAAAGATTTTTCTTTTTAGTGAAGAAATGCTGTCTTGGATGATTCTAAATGGTGATCATTGTGCATTTAAATAGCACAAGAGAGATGAATGAAGATTGAGGTCCCAGATTACCATACTTTAACCAGTGAAAATGGTCTTGACCTACCTCCATGCTCTTCCTTCAGCAAATGAGCTTTGTTATACCCTACTGTGACAAAAAAAATGAGTAAGTATCATTGTTTCCTGCTTCAGTAAGCGTTAAAGAGAAATTAGCGAGCTGGAAAGCGTGGAAATTGTGGTGGAATCTGCAAAAGCGGATCCATAGAGAAATGTTAAATTTTGTAGGAATGTTTTGCGAAGAGATTGTGTACATCTGACTACTTAACCATATGAAGCATCAGCTGCCTCCTCAGTGGGGCTGTCATTCTCTTCTCACTAGACAACCCCTGAATATAAACAGTTGGGAAGTGTGTCTCCAGATCATTGTGTCACACTGTAGGATACTGAAGCTTTTTGAAGTACTCACAAAGGCAAAGTCGTATGGAGTGTTTCTGGGAGACCAAAAAGAAGTCAGGGCATCTGCACACGATTTTACTGAAAACACTGGTGTGTCGTTGAGTAGAAGAGCTATAGGAATGTCAAGTGTGTCGTGTACTACTGAACAGCAGCTCTGAACAATGTTCCCTGGTATTTTCTGTTCAAACAGACCGAGTTACTCAAAATACACTCATTTCTAACCTTCATTAATGTTAGGATTTGTGGAGAAAATATCAGACAAATTCCCTCCTCTCTGGATGCTTAAGGTTGAAAGAGAAAAGTGCTCATCTGTTCAACATGCACACGATATAATCATGAAACCAATTTTGACAACATATGGAGGAAAGCAAAATCCTCCAGAGTAATAAGGCCAAGGAAAGGAGAAATAAAACAATATGTAAATTTTCCATGTGACGATGACACCAAGGTGAGTCCAGTGCAGAACTAAATCAGAAGAGATATCCTGTGTGCAAATGAGCTGAGCTTATACTAGGAGAGGGAAATAATCTGAGAAAAAAAAACAAGAAGGAGCCAGGATAAGCTGCATATAAAGATGCAAAGTACATTTTTTGATTAACATAAAAGCATCTTCCTGTTATTCTGTATTATTTTGAACTCTAAAGTCAGTACTTAGGTGACACAATTAGCTCAAGGAGAGATGGAATTTGACTATAAGGCAGAAATTGGGCCAACGTAATTCCCTTGGAGACTCAAACGTTTATCTTGATGAGCACATGGCACAATTGTCTCACTGGTGTGAATCAAGATAGTAGAAGTTCAATAAACATATAGACCTAAGTGATAAGGGGAAGGGGTCATGAAGGAGAAGTCAAACAAGACAGGAAAGACTCAGATGGCTTTGGGATGTTCCCATATCAGAACTGACCAGGACAGGAAGTACATCCTCATAAGCATTCTGAGACTGCAAGAGACTGCCATTAGTACCAGACTTTTCATGTATGTACGATAAGAAGAAAATGATATGGAAATACTTAGGTGAATTTAGCATTAAAATACTGTCTCTGTGGACCCTAAGAGAGACACACTGTCCCCTGGAGAAGGGGAAAGGGAGAAGATCTCCTGGGCAAATTGGGAGCATGGGGTGTGGGGGAGTAGGGAGAGGGGAGGGAGTTAGGAGATAGAGAATGGGAGAAGACGAGGGGGGGAGGACGACATGAGGGAGCAGGAAGGTTGAGTCAGGGGAAGAATAGAGGAGAGCAAGGAAAGAGATACCATAATAGAGGGAGCCATTATAGGTTTAAAGAGAAATCTGTCACTAGGGAAACGTCCAGAGATATACAACTAACAATCTAAGGAATAGTGGAGAGGCTACCTTAAATGTCCTTCCCTGATAATGAGAATGATGACTACCTTTTATGTCATCCTAGAGCCTTCATCCAGGAGCTGATGAGAGCAGAAGCAGAGACCCACAACTAAGCACTGAGTTGAACTCCTGTGTAAATAGATTCTACCTGCCAGACTTGTCCCAGAGCCGCATCAGTCCCAAATGAATATGCAGGATGCCGTATTAATTATGAAGCTGGTGGCCGTTTGCTATGGTTTCTTACTGGCTAGCTCTGACTCAATTACTAACCCACAATTACTAATATATATTTTTATAAGGTCTTACCTTACCAAGGACACACCCTCATGGGTCCTCTCCTCCCAAGATCACACGGTGACTCTCTACTCTTGACTACATTTCCCAGAATCCTCCTCAACTCCTAGTCCTACCTATCTTCCTTCTTATTGGCCAACAGTGCTTTATTTATCAACAAATCAGACAAACATATACACAGAAGGAATTCCCCCATCACTCCTAGAATCCAGTTGTAGAGAGAGAGGAGTGATGAGCAAAGTAGTCAAGACTAGGCTGGGGAAACCCACAGAAACAGCTGACCTGAACAAGGAGGAGCTCATAGACCCCAGACTGATAGCTGGAAAACTGTCATAAGACCAAATCAGGTCCCCTGAATGTAGGTGTTGGTTAAGAGACCTGAGCAGTCTATGGGGCCTCTGCTAGTGGAACAGCATTCATCCCTAGCATACGAATGGACATTGGGAGCCCATTTCCCATAGAGGGATACTTTCTCAGTCTAGACACACAAGGGGAGATTAGATGGGGGTTCTTTGGGGTGCATGGGAGGGAGAAGGAACTGGGATTGATATGTAAAATAAGACTGTTTCTAATTTAAATAAAAATACTGAATCTGCAAAAAGAGTGAAAAGAGAATGAACAAGCAGAAAATTCACAGGACATCGCCCTTACCAGGATAACCGAATTCAGATGGATGTGAGAAGCATAGAATCTACAACACATAGATGCTTATGTTTACATGACAAGTGAGCTTCAGCCCACAAGTAATGTGAGGAATCCCTGAACCACCTTCAAGACAGTTTACTACACAACCTCTGCTTTGTTGATTTCCTATCTTTGCAATGCCCCAATCCCTTTTTTATGTGAAGGAACACAGAAAACTTCACTCAGAACAGGTAGGGGCTGGAGTGAGCCAGGCACACAAGGGTTTCTGCACTGGCAGAGCATCCTTGTGTCTCTCTGTGGCTAGCTGCTGGATCATAGATACACAACTGAATTCTTAGGGCTGTATCTTCAGAGTGGAGACAGATGAATCTCACATCTCAGCTATGAATCGATCCTTTCATGTCTTGTCATCCTCCATAAGAGACTTGGTGAGAAAGTAACCCAGCAACTCTAGCCCCTGTATCTTGGTCTGTCTGTACCAGAAAAGGTCATCGCAGCCTGTGAAGTGTCTCACACCTCAGAGTTACTGTTTGTCTGTTCTCTGCCACCTCATGTCTGGGTGACTGGGTGACTCCAGCATCTGTGTGACCTATATTTAAAAAGACAAAGTGGAAGAGAGAATAAGAAAACTCTGGGAGTCCTGAATAAAGAAAGCCAGTGTGATGATATTAAGTACCCCCAGGACTGCTGGTCTTAAAAAATGTATTAATGTGGGTGTCAGTGATGAGGCCTAGGCAATCTGTGGGACCTTGGGTAATAGATCATCAGTATTTGTCCCTGGCATACAAATGGACTTTGGGTGTCCATCCCATAATGAGGGATGCTCTCTCAACCTAGACTCTTGGGGGGAGGGCCGAGGCCCTGCCCTGAATGAAATGACAGACTCTGGAGATCCCCCATGGAGGGCCTCACCCTCCCTGGGGAATGGAGTGGGGATTTTTTGGGGGGACTGGTGGCAGGGGAGGGGAGGAAGAGGGAGCTGGGGTGAAGCTAGCTTGTTTCTAATTTAAATAAAAAAAGCATTAATAAAATAACCCCTAATGACATTTTGCTGTACTCATAGATCAGTGCCTTATTCAGTCATCGTCAGGGAAACAGAGGCCCACAGCCAGATATTATTCAGAGAAACAGACCTTGGAACTCACAGCTGTAAATGGGATGTCCCCATCAAATCACCGCCTAGAAGTCAGGGAACCCCACAGAAGATGAAGCAGAAAGAGTGTAAGAGTCAGAAGAAATAGAGGACATCAGAAGAGTAGGGCCCTCTGAGCCAACTAAGCAAGGCACATATGAGCACACAGAGATTAAAACAGAAATCACAAAGCCTATTTAGGTCCATACCAGACCCTCTGTGCATATATAATTCAGCTTTCAGATTAGTATTATTAATGGACTGCTGAGTTCGCAAACAAATGGGTCTCTGATTCTTGTGCCTTCTCTTGGCAGCCCTTTTCCTTCTGTTGGGTCGCCTTGACCAGCCTCGATGTGATGGCCATTAATCTAGCTTACTATATGTTATTTTGCCATGTTTGGTTGTTAATCTGGTTTTCTAAAGAGAGACAGAGAGGTAATGGATCTGGAAGGGAGGGAAGGTGTTGAACTGAGAGGAGTAAAGGGAGAGGAAGCTGTAATCGGGAATAGTGTATGAGAAAAGCATCTGCTTTTTCTAAAAAAGGGGGAAGTGGTTAAAAACAAAAAGTAAATATCTGAGTTCAGTTCTTAGAAACTACATTTTAAAAGCTTGCCATGATGTTGTGAGCTTGTCACCCCATGCTGGAGAGATAGGACAAGCAGACCAATAGGGCTCAATGATTGGCCAGCATAGACTGATTAGAAAGCTCCAGGCCATCGAGAGACCCTTCCACAAAAACAAACAAGCAAAAACAAAACCGAAAGCCAAAAAAACCCAGGGTGGATGGCATCTAACTATATTTTCTTAACCCCAACACAGATTCTAAGTGACAGTGAAGTTATACTGCATTCTAGTGGTCAATGAACAACACAAATCGTAGGGGAGCTGTGACTTCTTTCATTTAGTATAAGGGGTGTGAGATTTTACAATGTATTAGTGTCAGAGAATAAATAACTATTGACCATTGTTAGTATTACTTTGTCTAATTTTTAAATTCTGACAAAGACACAATAGATGGCCATCATCTACCACGCTGCTGGATCCTGTGGTCAAATAGATGAAATTATCTGAAGTGAATGAAAATGAGCAGAAGTTGTGAACTACATTTAGATTTTGTGAGGACAGAAGAAGTGCCAGGGGGGTCTGGGTCTGAGAGTGCAGGTGCGTGGGAAGGGTCCCCAGCGTGCTACCTTCCAAGCACTCCTGACAGTTCAGATTGACTTCTCTTGCTATCTCAGAGAGTCAGGAAGAAGTTAGACAGAGAGAAACAGACATAAAGAAGGCATGCTGTAGGATTACATGGGGGCCCTGGGTTTTAGAAGTTCATTTGAGAGGTATTTTAACATGCCAAGGTACTGTTTTAGTAGACAAAGGTACACAGATGAAATGTGTTCAACAGAATCTGAACTATGTGAATCAAACCTGCCAGAGTTTGGGGTTGTGTCAGTGGCATTAGAAAGTTCCAGCACTCTACTGTGGACACTCCCATGGAGGGCCTCACCCTCCCTGGGGAAATGAGGGGACATTGGGGGGGTTGGAGGGAGGGCACGGGAGGAGGAGAGGGAAACAGACAGGGACCTGGAACTGACTTGTGAAGCAACCTTGTTTCTAATCTGAATTTAAACTTAAAAGTAAATTTAAAAAAAGAAAGTTCTAGCACTCTGTGGAAAGTAGTACTTGGTCTGAGTGGAGATTTAGGTTGGGCAGGGAGTTGGATGTCTATAACCCCAGAGCTTGGGAAGTAAGGGCTGCAGGACCAGAAATTCATGGAAATTCAATTGTATCCTTTAAAAATTCTGGAACCCCTGTTAGAATATCCATTTTGTGTATTTCTATGAAACTAAAACATTGCTGAAAATTGCACACACCTGCACAATTATCAACAGTGTAATTATTATTAGCATATTTCCTATTTCCACACAAGCAACAGTAGAAAGAAGCCCTCCAAACAAACAAACAAACACACAGCGGCAGGGAACTTGTTCCATGGAAAGTTCTAGTATAAAGGAATAGAAGAAGTATGATATAATGATGTCACCAAGGGTAGCATTTCTAATCCTTCAGATGCTCCCGCTCCGGAGGGAAGGCCTGTTGTCTGTCACCCACAGATAACTTCCACCTGCATTACTGTTTCAGAAGGATTTCCTGGCTGCGGACTTTACAGGGCAGGTGTCTCCAGATTGGGAGGACTTAGTCTATGAAAAGTCGCTTTCAGTTTGGGGCTCTTGAATTGTTACTAAGATGTACTTCAAGCCCCTGGGATGGTATTTCCAAACACTTGGTGTCATTGTGTTTCAGGAAAGGATGTACGACCTCTGGTTACATGCTGGCTAGCCTATGGCGAAAGACCCGCTGGGTCTATGAAGTACATGGAGTAAGCAGTGGTCTCCGCTGAAAGCTGGCTTTGAAGAAAGCTTTGTGCGCAGCGGGGAGGTGTCTCCGCACTGGTGTGGTTTAAGCTGCTGGCACAGAGATACGTGGCTGAGTCGCTCTGCTCTGCAGACTGGATCTTCAGAGTGGAGTTGACTCCTCTAGTCCTTGCTGCAGAAAAACGATCCTTGGGCAACTTCGAATCATCCATAACAGCCTCATTCTGAAAGTAAACTAAAAGCTGGGGACCTTGGTCTCTGAGCTGCTGATACCAGTAAAGGGTAGCATGTCCAGAAACAGGGTCACACCAAAAGGAAACTTCTTGCCTTTCTTGTATGATGGCATGTCTGGGAGACTGAGTGACTCCCACCTCAGACAGTACTGTTGGAAAAGAAGACGGTGTTTCAAACTGGAAACAATTAGAATAGTCCTCAGAGAAATGCAAAGTGGAGGTATTGCTTTTCCAAAGAACTCACCGGACCCCAGGAGACAGAGCACTGCCCAGCTGAGGAGCCTGATGCCCATGGCTGGGTCAGGGTAGAAGACGGCTCACCACAACATCAAGGCCCTGCATTACTTGTTACCATGTGACAGTTCCCACAATGATGCTACTGTCCCTAAGAATCATGGTCTTGAAGCGGTGGCTGTGGACTTAAGTGGTTAGCGTACACACAGCGGCATGTAAGGTCCTCTCAGGCAGCTCTGGGTCTTCAGTGGATGTAGTCTTTTTCACTATCTGGAGACCCTTCTTCTAAAGTCCGGTTGATGTTTCTACTTGAATATCACCACAAAGGCAGCTCAAAGGCAGCATTAGTGGCTGGCGACCTCTTTGTCCTTTTGTTATTGACTTTCACTTTGGGCATGTCTCTTTCATCAGGCTCTAGCACAGTGACAGTCCAGGCTCCACATTAAACTAGCTGATATTCCCAGGAGGGGTAAGGGGATGCCCTCAGCACAGGCAGGTTTTCTTTTGCCTGAGGTTCCAGCTTATCCCTCGCTCTTACTAGCCTTCACCATGCTTTACATACCAAGGCCTTCACTGTCACACAGCCTGCACGTCTAGAATACCAATGAATAAATGCTGGAATCGACATCTTCTCTAAAAAAATGATAGAGACCTTCCTTGACCGAGAAATCATCACTCTGGCTATTACAGTAATAAGTGTGAATTTAAACGGCATCCTAAGGGTTTACGAACCTTCAAAAACAGGACACCAGATACAATTTACAAACAAACTCCGCCATTTAGCATCTGCTCCTATTCCCTAACAACACTGGGTACAAAGGTACACGTTTCTAATTGCCTGAGTGGGGCGCTGGGATGGGTGAGGGAGCTGAGACCCTCTGGGAGTTGGCATGAGGGACGAGGCAAAGACGTGTGCTCAGAGACGTAGAATGGTATAGCTCTGGGGTCAAAGGGCAGCTGGCAAGTCTCCCAGATTTAGGAAACACAGGCCTGCATCACCTGAGATGTGAAATTAATTAACGGAACAGCTGGCTTTATTCACTTGGTCTCCATCAACAGCGTAGAAAAGCTATGTCATGAGGTCAGCTTGATCTGCGTCAGCTAATAACTCGGTGAGGCAAGGTCTCCTCATATCAAGGGAATGGTGTGTGTTTCATTCTCAAACCAGCGTGTTAGGTGACAGCAGCATGAAAGGATGGTTGAGACTGTTCTCCTCAGACAACATTAGAGGCTGTGCTGCTCTGTCAATGTTAGAGACCGTGGGCCTCAGTCAATGTTAGAGACTGTGTTCTTCAGTGTTAGAAACTGTACTCCTGAGACAATATAAGAAACCGTGCTCCTCAGTCAATGTTAGAGACTGTGGGCCTCAGACAATGTTAGGGACTGTGGGCCTCAGTCAGGATTAGAGAATGTGGGCCTCAGACAATACTAGAGACTGTGGGCCTCAGTCAATGTTAGAGTCTGTTCTCCTCAGCCAATGGTAGAGACTATGCTGCTCAGTCAATATTAGAGACTGTGGGCCTCAGACAATGTTAGAGACTGTGGGCCTCAGACAATGTTAGAGACTGTGTTCTTCAGTGTTAGAAACTGTACTCCTGAGACAATATAAGAAACTGTGCTCCTCAGTCAATGTTAGAGACTGGGCTCCTCAGACAATGCTAGAGACTGTGAGCCTCAGACAATATTAGAGGCTGTTCTCCTCAGCTAATGTTAGAGACTGTGGAACTCAGTCAATGTTAGAGACTATGGGCCTCAGACAATGTTAGAAACTGTTCTCCTCAGCCAATGTTAGAGACTGTGGGCCTCAGACAATGTTAGAGACTGTGTTCTTCAGTGTTAGGAACCGTGCTTCCCCAGACAATACAAGAAACTGTGCTCCTCATGTTAGAGACTTGCTACTCAGCCAGTGTTAGAGACTGTGGGCCTCAGTCAGGGTTAGAGACCATTCCTCAAGCAGTATGTGAAGTGTCAGAAATTGAAGCATTCAAGAAGAAGGATGAAAATTCCAGTGTATTTCATGATATCCCTCTACTTCCCAAGTAAGGCAGTCAAAGAAATAGACTACAGATTTCGTGTTAGGCTAAAAGTAGGAATACCTGGGATTCTAAGAAAACCAATTCATATTAAGAATGCTTACAGTATTATTGCCCATAGTTTCAAACAAGTCCATCTAGAAATGTCTAGGAATAGTTGCTTTTTATCCTTCTGGCATACATACATTCTATGCCACTCTATATATTGGCCAGTGGGGATAAATAAAGGGTGAAGGTGCACAGTTAACAGTACTCTGATGTATTCCTGAGTATTCCGTGTCCTTGTAGATGGGTCTCCAAGGGTTCAGCCTAACTTGTGGTCTAGCATCCATGTACTAGACAGGATGAAATATTCTCCACCTAAAGATTTTGCTACAGCTCTATCTTTCCTCTGAGTAGCATCTACCTATGTCCGTGGAAGAAGAAAAAAACCACTGTGTAGTACTTTATGTATTACTGACTATTCATGGCATCTCCAAACTACTAGATATTGGAACTTAAGTCACATTCCACACCCATGTTCACTGGCAGATCGTGTGGGTCTTCATCAATTCCAGTGCCATTTGATGGCTGCAGAATCAGTAGGCAGAGATTTCCTTTCCATGGATCAAGGACAGTGGTATCGAGGACTTTTGTTCTTCATTCACTGAAGTCAGAGCTAGGCTGGGAGAAGTCACCTACTGGGCCTGCCTCTACTGCTCATTTTGTCAGGCTGCAATTTGGGAATAGCATCACACTACTGCTGCTCACACTTAATCAGCTTCTCAAAGTTAGAGTTTATAGTTAAGTTAGATGGAGATGTAGAATTAACATCTATCTCTAGACTGGTACAGCTCCAAGAGGCCAAAGACTGGCTCGTCAAAGTTCATCATAAACAATAAAATGAGTTTTGTGAAATTCTATAGAGAGCAGTAAGTTTATGCTGATGGTTGCATCTTTAATATCTTTGTTAATCTGAGAATTTCTTATGCGAGTATTCTATTTCACACCTACATCATTTCCTCACCTCTCTAGACCCTCTCAACTCCCAGTTTTTCATCTAAATCCCTCTTGAATTCATGATATCTTTATAATTATTGTAGTTACATATTTACATAATTCTTCTTCTGCTATTACATCTTATACACACACACACACACACACACACAAACTACAGGCTTCTGAGAGAAGTATGAATCCCTTGATAGGTTATCCAACCCCAAGTAATCAGTCCTAAACACACACACACACACACACACACGCACACGCACACGCACACACAGGACAGCTGCCTGCTTTTAAGTTACCAGCTCTCTCCCCACCAAGCTGTTGTTTTACATAGCTCTAAGTATAAAACAGAATTACAGCAAACCTGGACTTAGAGCACTACCTAGTGTTAAATCAGCACAGTGATGGTAGACTTTGAGATGAATATAGCACCAGGCTCTGGGAAAGTCAGGCATGCATGTGCATACTGTCCCTTCCTGTAAGACAATATGGGCTCAGCCAAAACAATGGAATGATTTTTGTCTAAAGTCTGCAGGATTGTATTTTTACTTATACTTCATCATAGTAAAACTGTTAAAAATCTAAGGGCTGCAATAGTCTCTAAAGCACATCTGACAATAAAAGGCATTCCCCCATAGAAAACATACAAATACGCCATGAGCAAACACATGACTGATGCTTGATCTCATTGGCCCTCAAGATGCTCAAAGCTGCACAGAGCAGTACTACTACACACACAGTCACAACAGCAGCAGTAATGGATCAAGTGTAAACACTGGCAAGGCTGTGAAGAAATGGGAACCCTCACACATCGATTGGTATTAGGTATGTAAACTGGTATGGCTGCCTTATCAAAAGTTTGACGGCTGCTGAAAATACCAAAGAGAATTACTGCATGACTCTGCAGTTTCATGTGCAGATTTATTCTCCAAAAAATCTGAAGACTAGGAAGCAAGCAGGTAATTTGAAGTTCAGTGTCAACTGAGTATTATTACTGATAATTGAGAGATGGAAGCCCCTTAAAAATCCACAAACTGATGGATAGGTAGAAAAACGTACAATTAAAAAACAATGGAGCATTAAAATAAGTTCTAGTGCACATTACAAATGTAACAAATATTATGTGAAATAAAAGAAAATGAATGCAAAGAGAAAAAATATAGTTCTAAACATACACTTCCTAATACAGACAAAATCTTGGATTTGAGGGGAGAACAGCTACCGCTTAATGGGTTATGGATGAAAACATTTTCAGGAAACTCATACAGATTATTGTTCTACAATATAGTGAATATGTGTAAAATAACAAAGTTACAGATATGAAAACAGTGATGGAGTGTAGAAAATGGCAGATAACTATGTTACTTTGGTTTCTGCTTCTTCTGAACTTGGTAAGCCAGTGAAGGAAAAACAAGCCTTTCTCTCAGCTTCTCCTGGTAGACAAAGCACAGATTCTCCAAAGGAAGCATGTGAGCCTCTCCCTGGGAGTCCATCCAACCAGGGAGGATTAAGTTATCACAGGAGACACTGGAGGCCCACCCCATGCCAAGACAGATTTCACAGAGTCTACCATCCATTTTCCTATGCACGTGTTCAGATTTACTCTTCCCAAACTTGTGTTCATTACCTTACACCTCAGTCTATGCAGAAGGAATAGAAGTTTCTAGATACAACTATGTGTTTAGGTATTCTTTTTTTTCATTTGATGTCCCAGGCATGCAATTAGCTGCCACAGCTTTTTTTTTGCTTGTTAACTTGTGAACTTATTTCATAGACTCATATGAGACAGGAAATATATTCTCATGCACAAGCATCAAAGTGAAATTGTGTGTGTGTGTGTGTATACACATGCTCAGAATGGAAGAACTGAAGACTGTGAGGAGTAGGCTGATGTCTGAAGCCTGATTACTACCTAAGGACCATGGTGGTATCCAGGCCAGAACTTCTACCAAGGGCCATGTCTGGGTCCATGGCCCTCTAGCAGCCAAGGTCTGAGTTGACATCTGTGTCTTCTATTGCAACCAACAGCTATATAGTTGTCCAGGACTGGATCAGCCATTGGTACCATGTTGGTGCCCAAGGGCCATGCTGCATCCCTGGGGCCATACAGATCTAAGTGACACATACTGTTGTCTGTAACTATGGTGATGTCCAGACCAAGGATGCAGCTGAGGGCTGTGTCTGGTTCCATAGCCCTACTGCATCCAAGGTCTGTGATGATGTTCAGTAGCTCTTGTTGCCATGAGGGCCACACTGCACTGTTTCTGGGGCCATGCAGATCTGGAGTACACCACCACCTGGGAGTACATACCCAGACTGCTGGTGAGCACCATGTCTGGGTCCATGGCCCTACTGATAGCTGGGTCTGTGTTGATATCCAAGGTTCCTGTTGGCATCAATGGCAATGTGGATACCCGAGATCTGGGGCCATGTTAGTGTCCAGGGGCTGGCTCCAAACTGAGTGGCCTGCGCTGCCATCTGGGACAATGGTGACATCCAGACCCAGCAGCATGGGAAGGACTATGTCTGGTTCCATGGTCCCACCACAGCCAGAGTTTGTGTTGAAGTCTGAGACTGGTGTTGCCACCAAAGGTAACACAGAGGCCCAAGGTGTGGGCTGCAATCAATGACTTTCTTGGTGCCTGGGGCTGAGATGCTACCAGTGTCCATCCTGATCTGAGTGACTTATGTTTCCACCTGGAGCCATGATATCGTCTGAGCCCGGGGAGCTGCTGCTGAAGGCCAAGGTTTTTTCTCTTGATTTATTTTGTGTTTTTGTTGCTTTTCTTTTTGTTTTTCTTGTTATTGTTTTGTTGTTGTTGTTGTTGTTTGACTTGGTTTATTTTAGTTTTCTTTTGGGAGTTGCTGCAGAGATAAGGAGAGAATATGGAGGGACTGGGAGGTATGCAGATTTAGGGCACATGATGTGAAATTCCCAAAGTGTTCAGAGGAAGAGCTTTGACAATGACTACTACTGCATGAAGGCTTTGATTTCACCAATGGCTAATCCATAGAAAGGGCGTTGAATCATGGAGACATGACCAGTTGGATGATGCAGAAGATCTCATCTCTGTCTCTGTCTCTGCCTCAGTCTCTGTCTCTTTCTCTATCTCCCTCCTGCTCCCTTCTCCCTCTCACCTTCCTTCTTCTCCTCTCTGCTCCTCTCCTTCCCTCATCTTTCCTCTTCCTTCTTGGCCGTCATTAGAAAGACAGCGATGTTCTGTCATAGTCTTCCTGCCTGTTCTTCTGCCACACCACAGGTCCGCAAACCCACAGGCCCAATTAATCATAGACCTAAACCTTGGAAACACTAAGGTTAAATACATCTTCTTCCTTTGCTTTCTCAGACCTGTCCTTGTGTCAGAAATGTGACCATGACAAAGATCTCCAAACTCAACGATGCCTCAGTTTTAGTGCCCATTCTGTAAAATGCAGTGTGGTATGAGCAGCTTCCTGCAGCTGTCTACCCAATTGTCATGTGACAAGGGGAGTCAATGCAATATGGAATATAATGTGTTTATTTACGTACAAGCTCAGAGGACTCACCCCTCTGAGTCATGCACTGAGCCAAGTTACTAGCACATTGTGACAAGGGAGTATTATGTTTATATTTCAAAACTCATCAAGAGCAATAAGTCTTAAAATCTGGCAGCGCAATTCCTGCAGGTTTTTTTTCTTCTGGAAACAAAAGACTTCAGAGAGAGGGGAGTTAGTCTTCCCTAGGATAAGACCCACACATGACCATTGAATGGGGACTTTTGGGGTACCAGCCTCTCAAATTCCTTCAGGGTCCAGCTAAAGCAAGCAAAGGAAATGTCTAAGAGTAAAAGACACGAATCAACTCACAGGACTTAACTTTAACATGCCACTTCATTGTTCTGCTTTTTTCTTCTGCCTCCATTCTAATTCTTCCATCCAAACCGTGTAAATTCTTAGTTCTAATGCTCTATCTCAATTCCACTTCCAATTCTCTGTTACATTCTTTTTCTTTTCCCTCTTCTTCATTTTCCCATTTCTGCTAATTTCTAACAGTTTCTCCTCCAGCTTCTGCCTTGGCTTCTGCTCTTTGTTCTACACAGCTTACAGAGTCCCACAAAATTCTTCTGAACATCACATGCCATTTCTTAAGTAAATGATAAGAAGCAGAGTCATTCCAATGACTCACAGGGCAGCAAATCCAGATAGTAAAAAAAAGAGCACTTTCTTTCACTACTTAGCTCCCTAACGAGTGGGCTGCAAACTGTAGCTATAAAAGGAGAAGTATTTTTTGTTATTTTTAGAGGTAGCCTAAAATAACTATACTAGTAAGAGAATAAAGGAAATTGTGTGATATATCCTATACTTTTGAGTGTACAAAACATCTTAAACATTTTGTGATTCAGAGTTATAAAGACCAGGCTTTCTAGGGCTAGAGACTTATCTGTCTACAAATGTTCCTCGGAAAGAATGTAGCAGCATGAGCTGCAGGGCTAAGGGACAGAGGAGCCCATAAAGCACTCACCAAGGCACAGTGACATTAAAAGCATTTAAATCTTAAGATATATTTTCCTGGCCAGCATGTAACTCTACCATAAAGAGAGAAGCTTGTAACTCTTTTAGAGGCGATGAAGTTAGTTTTTATTTTGTAGCTAACCCTGGCCAGTCAGGAAATCCTATCCAGTGGTGTCTGACCAAAGGCATAAAACTGACGTTAGAAATCCATGCAAAGAGTCAACTGTTGTCCCAGGTACCACAATTATGCTATGTTGTACTATTTGTCTTTGCTTAGCAAAACATACAGCTGGCTACACGTCCTAGTATGACTGCATTTATTTGGCAATAGTTTATCTAAAAATCTTAAATGAGGTGTTAACAATATACACCAAATGCATAGGGGGAATTGTGCCCACCAAATTATCAAATGTTGCTGAACTGGGGGAAATAAATCCCAAGTTTGCAACAGTAGGGTGTAAGCTACAGCAAGAAACAACCCCTTCATTCACAAGGCAATAATTCCAACATGTCTTACTTTTGGTTTAATTCTTGATGCAGAGTTCTTAACTCTGATGGGTTGACCTTGTGAAATGAGTTGTCCAGTCTCAACCAAGCATTCCTAGAAGTCTAACTGTAAGAAACACTAAATAGACTTGACAGGTTGAAATTATATTTTTATTCATACCATACACCCCCTACATCCCCCCAAAAAAACCAAACCAAAAGTATATAGTTAAAAAGAATAAGAGGCCACGAGTTAGAAAGGAAATAGAATTGTGTGCAGGGCTAGAGGAAGAGGTAAGGGAAGAAATAATATAATGACATGAAGATCTTTAAAAGGTAAAGAAAAATAATGCAACCTGGAATAGATTTTTCATGGAAAGAAGAGATCCATAACAATAGGGAAAGGCCATTGTTCTGTGCAGAAGAAATGGCCTAGGAAACCATCTCTGGGGTTGAAAGCAGCGAAAAGTGCATGAGGAAGTAATGGGACACAGACAAGTTCAGCTGGAGAGGAAGGAACCTGGGGAAAAGGCTGATGACAGAGACGAGGGAAAAATATGACGCAGGACCTTGCAAACGATTGTCCTATAGAACAAAGGGTCTACTGACCTACAGAGTAAACACAGCTTGGAAAGAGACCATGTTAGTGACTCAGATGGATAGTAAAGTTGTTGGAGAGTCGATGGTTGTAAGCTTACCAAAAGAGTCATCAGGACTTCAACTAAGGATTCTAGTTCCTCTCTGAAGGCAGAAACAAGGGGTGGAGAAGACACAAGCAGCCATGAAACGGTGTTAGAATGGACTTCAGTTGGGCTGAGACCCATGCTGAAATGGTCCTTGTTGGTCATAGCTCAGTGACTCTTACAGAAGCAGAGACTTCCTGAGGCACACAGGCAACTTGATTTACATTATGTGCAGAGAGGAGTCAGCCACTCGCTGCTGTGTATAACTGCTGGCACAGAAGTACACAGCTGTCTGAGAGGGTGAAGCCGTCTCCACAACAAGGGAGAAGGCCTCCGTCCTTGGTCTGGTGGCTTTGTACCCATCTGGTATATCTCCATTCTCAGTGTTGCCAGCAATGTATGAATAATGGATCAGCCTCAGTCCATGCCCCGGGTCCTGCCGATACCAGTACATGTAGTCATGATTATCAGTCTGGTGACAGTTCAGTGTTACTTCTCCTCCTGTTACTGCCACCTTGTTTCTTGGGTTTTGGGTGACTGCAGCCTCCATGGGTTCTGTAGTAAGAGACAGACAGAACCTAATGATGTCATCTCAGCTATAAAAGACTTGGGAATTCTGGGAAGGGAAGCACACCTGTGTCCTGTCCAACACTCACTTCCACACAGCAGACTCAAGGCCACACAGAAGAGCCTGAAGTCCATCTGAGGACCAAGGAGAGATCTGATGTCTTCCAGCCCTGTTTGTGGAAACTAGAGCTGGAGCTCTCAGTGACTTAGTGATGTCACTGTCTCCAACAAATGCTTGAGCTGCAGAGTTGACATGCCCCGCCCCTTCCCTACAGAAACAGGTCAACATTCAATTACAATTGCAGATTATAGTTGGAATATACAACAATATTTTCAATTGTATTTGCAAATTAACAGCATATATAGGAAAGCGTTTCTGGTTTGTATCATATTTATACAAGCATATACTCTTTCTCTGGCTTCAGCCAACATATTAGGATTATTTCATCCCTCCTGTGACACTATTTCTTATTTCACAATGTTTTAATGTTTAGTATTTTCATAGTTTGCTGCATTATTGTGACCTTCTGTATTCCATGAGTTTTCTACTAGGTCTTCACTTTGCCAAAATACTTGAAGATAAACCTCCAATGCCATCTATGGCTACAAGGTCTTCTTGACACCCAGAAAGCTTATAAAACACCAAGGCTGAGGTCATTACAGTTTGAACCACTGTTTTAAGCTATTTCATACCAATTCAGGGACACAAGCTCTAACTTCTAGGCTCAGTCCAGAGTATGTCTTCATTCATAGGAATTCTCCCTTTGTTTCAGGTGAGACTGTGGATTGTGGAACTGAGACTTGGTCACTGTGCATCATGTCAAGAGGAAACCCCCTTCAGCAAGGTGGGTGAGCCGTTTGCCTGGTAATATGCAGATCTGGTGACTCTGGGGTCTCAGAGAAACGTACCAAGATCATTCAAAAGCTCTCATGTCAACTTTGTCATAAGTTTGCTAACATGAGACACTTAACTGTCCTCCCTGTAAAGCACATCTCAGTTACTGTGTACACAGATAATATCAAAATGTCAAAGCTCATTCTGTGACCACACATCCTGGTGGGATCTTGATGGATATTTTCTATAATCCCACCCTGGTGAGGAAGGACTCGAAAACAGAAGCGGAGTCAAAAGGGACAGAATAGCATCCATAAGAAGAAGCAGGAGAGACAGTCTGACCATCAGAAACACCATTCTCATGTGTGCCCTGAGCTTGGCCAGTCCCCAGAGACTAACAGCCACCAACAAAGGAAGCCATTGCCCATCGTGAGGTGTGTCCAAGGAAGAGGCACTTTTTACTTTAGACCTGAATATTTGGAGGGGGGAAATGAAATTTTATGGCTCTGAGGCTCATTTCCAGAACCATATATGCTCCACCAATAATGTAAGTCTTCTGAACAATACTCTAATTTCATTAGATAGAGAAGCATATTCCATAAATATCTCCTTTATAGTCTTTTTAAATTGTTTATTGAATGGTTAGGTAATAAACTTCAAGTTGTATAAAATGTTAAACCCTTCTTGAAATTATGTCAGTACGCACACTATCTACCTTAATATTACACATCTATAACCTGTCGCACATCCCATTCAGAGACGAAAACACTAAGCTCAGCTGCCTTATAAAACAAGAGACAGTGAGCTGCTATGTTTTTGACTGAAGTGGATAACAGCATGGAAACTCATACTTTGATTTTGAAGACAAAAAGGCATAGATTTCAATCTTAGTGTTGATATTCCTATGCATGAAATGTTGGGAAATTCCATGAGCTATCAATTCCTATGTATAAAGTGACATGTAGAAATAGTCTTCTACAGCCAGACCATGGTGGCATGTGCCTTTAGTCCTAGTACTCTGGAGAAAGAGTCAGGTACACCTCTGAGTTTGAGGCCAGCCTGGTCTATAGAGGGAGTTCTAGGATAGGCAGGACTACAATGAAACTCTATCTCAAAAAAAAAAAAAAAAAGAAAAGAAGGAAGGAGGGAGGGAATTTTCCTCTAAGCATGGATTCACTAGTGTATACTCTTCTCTTATAATGTGCAATTTATTCCCAAACCGCAGACCCCACCTAGAGTATGGTTCCAACCCCTGGCTAGAAGCTGAAAAGGTGCTGGCAGAGACATGAGGACATCTGAAGTCTTGGGACCAACCCCAGTGTTTACAACTCTCTGTGTGAGCTCAGTAGGGCAGTGGGGGATTTGTAAAGACCCACAAGCATTCCTGGGCCTTGGCTAAAGCTGTGTGGCATCTTCCCATCCCTCACTAGTACATCACCAGCTTGGACAGCATGACTAAGGGACAGAAAGCCAGTCACTCTGTAAGGCTGTGATGAGCTAGCACAGAAATACACAGCAGAATCCTCCAGCTGCAAGGCGCTCATGTTCATCTCAGAGTGATAGTCACCGAGCTGCTGCACTGAGAATCGGCTGGGGATGTTTCCTTTCTCTGTCTCCATTTTTTCATAATGCTGAATGAGGAACTTCAGTTCCTGCCCCAGAGTCTGCTGGTAACAGGCCACACTGGCATGTCCAGACATGGGAATGCATTTCAGAGTGGACCTTCCTCCCTTGGCTTTGATTAGGTGTCTTGGAGACTGGATGACCCCAGGATTTGCTGAACCTGGGGAGGCAGGAGACAGGAGTAAGCATCTGGAGGAAGAGGGCATGGATGCAGCTGCAGTGAAGGAGTCAGGAGCAGTCCCTCCAGAGCTCAGGACTTACCTGTCCCCAGGAGAAAGACAGTGACACAGCAGAGCAGGGTGGGGCCCCAGGCAGAGTCAGGGAGGGCAGTGTCACTCATCCTTCTCCTCAGGATGCTGCTGTCCTTGTGAGAGCAGAGTCAGCTCCTCCTCTCTCTCCTCCTCTCATCTCACTGCCTGTGATGTCGGGCTCTGAGATCAGTGATCTTGTTGGCTCCCATAGGGTCCCTTCACCCTTGAGCATACTCTGCTGGCTCAACCCCTCCCCTTTAGGCTCAGCCTGCTTAGTGGAAGGGGAGATGGCTGTCTGTGGAAGAGTCCTTTCCATGATTTCCTCTGAGACAGTAGCTTCCTTCTCCTGTATTTTCAAGGTTACATTTCATGGCTGCCCAGTGGGTGCGTAAAGATGATCAACCTCTCTTTCCCTGCCTTATGTCTCCTGAGCAGCATGGTTTCTGCTTTCACAGCTCACACCCAACTGTGGACTCCCAACCAGAGCTCTGCAGCAGCTCACTCCGTGGATCTGCAGTGCCCCCTAGTGACCAGCTGTGCAGTCACTGGGTTGTACCTCTACTGGCTGTGGTAGAGGGTGTTGGGAGCTCAAAATCAGGCATCTGGGGTGAAGAAGAAAACATTGCAGAGTTGTTGCCAGTTCCAGTTAACCCAACAAAATATCAAATACTGTCTATACTACTGAGGTAGGCATAAAAGGAACTCATTTTAAAAAAAAAGGAAAAAATCTAAGTCCAAGTCTAAGATATACCATGGTGTTGCAAGGAGTCATACAAAAGGCATTAGATACCAGATGCCTTTGGAAGGGATTGGACCTGGGCAAAACACCTTTAGGCTAGGAATATTTTTATGACAAGATGACTGTAAATGATATCAAGGGAGAAGCTTCTGAGCACTAAGAAAAACAGATCAGTCTAAGGAAGAGAAAGCTGAAAAGGCTACAATGTAGGGGTTATTGTTGTAATAGGAAGCTTGTGTTTGAAGAAATTTAAATATTAAAATTCTACATTGGTCCCCAGTTCCTCCTCCTCCCTCTTCTTCTCCCCCTCTCTTTCTCCCATATCTCTCTCTCTCTCATCCCCTCCCCCCTGCTCCCAATCCAATTAGGAGATCTTGTCCCATTCCCTGTCTCTGGTTTACCATGCATATCTCTGTTAGGGTCCTCCCTGCTTCCCAGACTCTCTGGCAGTGGGATTGTAGGCTGGCAATCCCCTGATCCATGTCTAAAATCCATATATGAGTGAGTACATACCATATTTGTCTTTTTGTGACTGGGTTACTTCACTCAGGTTGGTTTCTTCTAGTGCCATCCATTTGCCTGCAAATTTCAAGACTCCATTGTTTTTTTCCACTGAGTAGTACTCCATTGTGTAGATGTACCACATTTTCTCTATCCACGCTTCAGCTGAAGGGCATCTAGGTTGCTTCCAGGTTCTGGCTATTACAAATAATGCTGCTATGAACATAGTTAAGCAGATGTTCTTATTGTATGAGTGTACATCTTTTGGATATATGCCTACGAGTGGAATTGTTGGGGTCTTGTGGTAGACTGATTTCCATTTTCCTGAGGAATCTTCATACTGATCTCCACTGTGGCTGAGCAAGTTGGCATTCCCACCAGCAATGGAGGAGTGTTCCCTTTTCTCTATATCCTCTCCAGCATAAATTGTCATTAGTGTTTTTTTTTATTTTAGCCATTCTGATGGGAGTGAGATGGTATCTCAGAGTTGTTTTGATTTGCATTTCCCTGATGCCTAAGGATGTTGAACATTTTCTCAAGTGTCTCTCAGCCATTTTAGATTCCTTTATTGAAAATTCTCTACATGGGGGAGCAGGAAGTTTGAGCCAGGGTAAGAATAGAGGAGAAAACGATGAGAGATACCATAATAGAGGGAGTCATTATAGGTTGGAGGAGAGATATGGCACTAGTGAAATTTTCAGAGATCTACAAGAATGACACCAATGGGCATTAAGGCTACCTTAAATGTCCTCCCCTGATAATGAGATTGATGACTACCTTATATGCCATCCAAGAACCCTCATCCAATGGCTGATGGAAGCAGAGGTAGACACCCACAGCTAAAAACTGAACTCCTGGAATCCAGTTGCAAAGAGGAGTGATGACTAAAGGAATCAAGCTCAGGCTGGTGAACCACAGAGGCAGCTGACTTAAACAAGGGGGAACCCATGGACACCAGACTGATGACTGAGAGGCCATCATGGGACTGGTCCAGACACTCCCCCTTCTCTCCCCGCTCCCCCCATCTGGGTGTCAGAGAAGAGGCCTCGGCAAACTGTGGGACCTTGGAGAGTAGATGAGTATTTATTCCTGGCATACATATCGATTCTGGGAAGCCCATTCCACATGGAGGGATGCTTTCTCAGCCTGGAAACAGGGCAGAGGACCTAGGCCCTGCCTGGGATGATATGACAGACTTTGAAAATCCCTCATGGAAGACCTTACCCTCCCTTGGGAGCAGAGTGGGGATGGAGTTGGGTAGTTTAGGGAATTGGGGTACCGGGGGAGGGAGAAGGAACTGGGAGAAATGTGTGTGAAAAGTTAAATTTTAAAAATTTATAAAAAAATCTACATTGGAATCCCCACTTGTGAAATATGCGATGATTTGAGGTTATCCTCAGCTCACTTAACACCTTGTTCTCATTTTCTCTGTGTTTCCTTATGAATACTGTCTTCAAATTCATCAGTCCTGCCTTCTGGAGCATCCAATCTACTGCTACCTACAGCAACTGTTTCTCAGCACAGACACCACAATTCTATTTCTAGACGTTTGGTTGTGAACTTTGCATGTCTGCTCCATCTCTACCAATCTGATGCGGTATGTGCTGCAGTTATACCGCTTCAGGTCATCGTCAGCCAATTTGTCAGAAATGGGTTACCTTCTAATGATGAGTCCTGCTTTCTTCCTTGTTTGTAAAGCTGTAATCTTTTATTAGACGCCAAACAGTTATATTTTGTGTTTGATAGCCTCACGTGTCATGGTTTTCTTACAAGTGCACTGATATCTTTATTCTGCAATGTGCTCATGTTTCTGAGAACCAAAACCAGGCGAACTCCTAGGAGACCATTCTATTTCTTTGTAGGTAGGCTTTGACAAAAATGTATGTAAAACATAAAGATAGACCAAACTTAAAACTCCAGAAAATGATGGAAAAGTAGAAAAACATACAATGTTAATGTAATGAAGTATTGAAATAAATCAAGATTGTGTACAGATTACAAATGTACAAATATTATGTGAGGTGAAAGAAACCAGTCACAAAGGGAAAAATTATCATTCTGAGCATAGAGTCCCTACAATAGGCCAGATCATGGTATGGAAGGAAGAATTGTTACTGCTTAGTTAGTTTAAAGAGCAAAGCTTCTTAGCAAATACCTAGTGATGTTGGTTATACACCACAATGGACATGTATGAAATATCATGAGATTATAGATATTAAAATAGTGATGGAGTTCAGCAAATGACTGCCCACTAAGCTACTTTGGTTTCTTGTTCTTCTGACCTAAAGATGCTTAGGGGGCAATAAGTATGGGAAAAAAATCTTTCTCTCAGCTTCTCCTGGTAGACAAAGCATAGATTCTCCAAAGGAAGAATGTGAGCCTCTCCCAGGGAGTCCACCCAAACAGGGAGGATTAAGTTATCACAGGAGACGACACTGGAGGCCCACCCTATCCCCAGAAAGACTCCTCAGAGTCTAACATCTTAAGGAAATTTTCAGATTTCCTCCCCACACATTGATTCTTCCTCAGTCTTCCTGCATACCCCACACCTCATCCTATGAAAAGGGAATAGAAGTTTCTAGATACCAGTAGGCGTTTAGATATTTATTGTCCTTTCATTTCACATCACAAGGCATGCAATTATCTTGTGTAGCTTTTTACCTGTTAATCTGTGAATTCATTTTCAAGACACAAATCAGAGAGTAAGCGAACACACCTTCTCCCGTAAGCACCAAACTGAACTCTGTTGTTACCATGTGTGTCATTGCTCTCATAAAAATTAAAAAGAAGAGGAAGGGAGATTGCCTTCAAAATTACAAAGAGAGTAAAAGTATATATTAATGGCTGCATCCTCCGTGGATGTACTTAAAAGGTAAGAGCCCAACTAACTAATTCAGATGCACTGGTAACTAAACAAAACGTTGTTTGTTAGAAAGCATCCCATGGAGTGTTTTCTGGTGTGGCTGTAATTTTCTTCTGTAGCATAAGACAGTTCCTGGTAGTTCACAGCTCACTACACATTCTGTTTTGTAAATCTTTAGAAAATGTTTCTATCTGGCAAGTCTGAATTCATGGCTCGCCTCTCAGCTGCTGATGAGTTGTTGATGGCTGACAATGAAAGAAGTTGCGGTAATACTATTTACTCTTTTTTGGCTTGACAATGTAGGAGGAACATTCTGTATCTCCTGGGGTATTTTTTTATTAATAATGGTATTCTTTATCTTTTGGGGGTAAGGTATAGGCAAGGTATGCTTCATTACAAGGCAAAAAAGTGCTTGTTTGGTTTAGATGTTAACTGTTCCTTGGAGATTCAGGAATTAAAGGCTTACTTGCTCTAAGCCCTTGTCATTTATTGCAGAAGTAGCAATTGATATTCTAGGAATCAGCTCCAGAATATTTATTGCTACGAATTTGGCTGTATGTAGAATATATACTGAATACTTCATATTCTCAAATGGGCCCCAGAGAAAGGAATTCCTTCTTCTCTCACCGTGTTAGTGGTAAGGGTGCCCCACTGCTTACTAAGGCTGGAAGCAGCAGCCCCAGGATCTCACTACAAAGCCTTAGATTTTTTTCTTTGATACAGCACTGAGAAATCCCCTCTAACGAGTTAACAGCATGTTTTAGAAATCATGTGTCCTCTCCTCCTTCCAAGATATGAGGGGCCCTGCTTTTGTCAAGATTTTTATCTGCCTTTCCTGGCTCAGAGATATATGCATGCTGAATTGTGAGAGAATTGTTGAATGTGCCTGTGTATATAAAAACTAGAAGAATTGTGGGACTAAAAGGACCTTTCTGAGAATTTTTTAGAAAAAAGAACTTCTGGAGACTTTTTAGAAGGACCGCAGGGGAATTTTCAGAAGGAACTTTCAGAGAATTTTTAGAGAGATTCTAGGAGAATTTTTAAGGAGAAGTTTTGAAAGAGAACTTTAAAAAGAGAACTTATTAGAGAGAACTTTTCAGAAGAAATATTAAAGAGATCTTTTTGAAAGAGAACTCTGGGGAAGAACATTTCTTGAAGAATAAAGAGTCAGGAGAGGAATGAATGTGTGAGTGTTTTTTTTTTCCTTTTTACTCTCAGATCAGAACTTGCTAGCCAAGACCAACCCACCTTCTGGAAGCCTCCTGCCTGAACCCTTGATAATTCCTGGTCTACAAATGATCAGAGGAAGGGCTTTGAAAAAGATTAGATCATGGAGGCTTAGGTTCCACCAATGGCGAATTTATTTATTGACAGGTTTATTATTGAGTCATGTAGACAACTTCAGAAAGAAGGGGCCTCTAGAGGCATGCACTGAAATCTCTCTCTCTCTCTCTCTCTCTCTCTCTCTCCTTCCTTCTTCACTCTCCTTCACTGCCATGAGATTGGAATATCAGTCCTGTTATATTCTTCAGCCACACCACAGGTCCAATTAATCGTAGACCAAAACACTGAGATACAGAGGCAAAATAGATGTTCTTCCTTTATTTTCTTAGATCTGTCATGATGACGGAAAGGTAACTATGACGTGGATCTCCAAACTCAGTGCTGACACAATTTTAGTTCCCATTTTGTAAAATGTAGTGTGTCATGAGCAGCTTCCTGCAGCTATCAACCCAATTACCATGCACTGAGCCAAATTACTTACACATTATAACAAGAGAATATGCAATTTATGTTTCTAAATACATCAAGACCAAGAAAATGAATTATAGACATTTATTATGGAATGCTAATCCCTATAGCATTTCTTTTTCTGGATGATGGGAAATTGTTCCATTTTCCAATCACTTGGAAATGTATATATATATATACATGTATGCATATATATTCATTCACATGCTTTGCTAAATACATATGAATTGACTTATTTATTTACAACACACCAAAAAAGCACACATAAAGATAGTAAATAAAACTAAGAAATCATGATTTTTTTTTTGTTTTTTGAGACAGGGTTTCTCTGTGACTTTGGAGCTCTCCTGGAACTCCTTCTGTAGACCAGGCTGGTCTCGAACTCACAGACACCTGCCTGCCTCTGCCTCCTGAGTGCGTGTGCCACCAACGGCCAGTAGAAATGGTAAAACAAAGACAATCCTATGTGGAATAACTTTTGATGGGAAGGAGAGATGCGGAAACGGGGGAAAGCATGTCTTCCATGCAGAGGAAGTGTCCTTAGAGAACACCTGCTCATTTGAGAGCAGCCACAGAACATATGAGGAGGGGATGGGATGCAGAGAGGTTCAGCTGGAGTGGGAAGAGCTTGGGAAGGCTGGGACAGCACTGAGTGAGGAAGGAGACACAGAATCTCACAGGATATTGTCCTACAGAACAAAGGGTTTCCTAACCTACTCAGTAAACAGAGCCTGGAAAGAGATCGTACCTAGAAAGGCAGGAACTTCCTGGGGCACACAGGCAACTTGACTTCCTAATTTACGTGCAGAGAGGAGGCAGTCACACATTGCTGTGCATCACTGCTGGCACAGAAGTACACAGCCGTCTGAGAGGGGGAAGCCGTCTCCAGAGCGAGGGAGAATCTTTCTTTGGTTGGTCTGGTGGCTTTGTACCCATCAGGGACGTCTCCTCTCTGTGTGTTATCAGCACCATATGAGTAATGGATCAGCCTCAGTCCATGCCCTGGGTCCTGCCGATACCAGTACATATTGTTGTGGTTAAAAGTCTGGTGACAGCTCAGTTCCACCTTTCCTCCTATTGCTGTCACCTTGTTTCTTGGGCTTTGGGTGACTGCAGCCTCCATGGGTTCTGTAATAGAGAGAGACAGAGCCTGATGATGTCATCTCAGCTCAAAGACTTGGGAATTCTGGGAAGGGAAGCACACCTGTGTCCTGTCCAGCACTCACTTCTACACAGCAGACTCAAGGCCACACAGAAGAGCCTGACATCCATCTCAGGACCAAGGCGAGATGTGATGTCTTCCAGCCCTGTTTGTGGAAACGAGAGCTGGGGCTCTCAGTGACTTAGTGATGTCACTGTCTCCAACAAATACTTGAGCTGCAGAGTTGACATGCCCCGCCCCTTCCCTACAGAAACAAGCAAACATCCAATTATAATCGTACATTTGGAGTATACAACAATATTTGGAGTTGACACACACAAATTAATGGCTGAGATTTATAGAGTTTTTGGTTTACTTTGTATTTATACATGTATGGACTCTTTCTCTGTTTTTTTAAATCACAACTTTTATTCTTACTATCATATAATTCTTTATTTTACATAGTCTTATGTTTTACTATTTGTAGTCTTAATTACACTCTTACACACGATGTATTCCATGAGGTTTCTACCAATTATTTGCTTTGTCTAAATACTTAAGAAAACCTTCAGTGTCATCTGTGGCTACAAGTACCACTTGACATCCAGCTTATAAAACACCAACTCTGAGGTTACTAGAATTTGAGCAAATGTTTTAAGCTCTCTCGTACCTATTCAGGGACATAAGCTCTACATTCTAGGCTCAGACCAGATTGTTCCTCCGCTGACAGGAATGCTACATTTGTTTCAGGTGAAGTTGCTGTTGGTGGATTTAAGTCTCTGTCATTATGCTTGCTGTCAAGAGGAGACCCCCTGTTCAGTGTTGATGAGCTGTTTGCACAGGTATGTGCAGGTCTCGTATGAAGGCAGGGAAATAATGAGTTCTCTAGACCCAAGGTAAATGACAAATGCGTGTTTTATTGGGGAACAACCTACACAGATGGCAATAAGGAACTGCTGTATCCCTTGTCTGCCCTTTGAGAGAGCACAAGGGAGCAAGTGCCTGCCTCAAGCTGCCCACTTTCCAGCTCCATCCTTCTGCACCTGAAGCCACGCCCAAAGGGGTGTGGCCACTAACGCAAACACACTGGCAAGGCTAGTTGATGCTATGCTGGTGCCTCTAAGGTAACAGGGAGAAATACCAAAATCATTCAAAAGCTCTTGTATCACTTTTGTCGTAAGTTTGCTAAAATCAAACACGTCTACTCAAAAACAGTTTAGGTTCCTTCCTGTGAAACGTACCTCAGTTACTGCCTACACAGATAACATACATCAAAGTGTGAAACCTCCTTTCTGTGGCCACACTTCCTGGTGGGATTTTGATGTATTCTTTCTGTAATCCTACACTGGTGAGAAGAGATACAAAAGCAGAAGCAGAGACAAAGAGGACCATCAAAGCATCCGTGTGAAGTAGCTGAGTACAGGGTCTGGACATCCCCCAAAACTGCATGCCCATCTATGCCCCAAGCTTGGCTGGTCCACAGACACCAGCAGTCACCAACAAAGGAGGCCATTGCCCATGGCTGAGTCAGCATAAGAGTCACTTTCTATTGTAGACTTAAATGTTTGCCGTGGGAAACATGAGATGTCACAGCTCTTAGGCTCATTTCCAAAATAAGGTCTGATCTACCAGTAATGTTACTCTTCTGGACAATGCTCTGATTTCATTGAAGAAAGAAACATCTGCCAAAAATACCTCTTTGTATTCCTTTTAAATTGATTGATGATTATTGAGTAACAAATTTTCTTCTGTTGAAAATGTAACCCACATCTTGAAAGTTAAGAAAAAAACATTATCTGGTTTCGTATTATATATCTATAACCTGTCAGCACCCTTCAACACACGCACACTAAGTTCAGCTAGTGTCATAACACAAGAGGCTGAGAGGCTGCTACATTTCTAGCATACCAGAGAAGACTACTATGGAAAGTCATACTTTGATTTCCAAGGCAAAGAAATGCAGGTTTTAATTCTATGATTGGCATTCTCAAATATGATTTGTTAGATAATATAACAAGTTATCAATTCCTGTGTATAAAGTGGAATGAATATGTCTTCATCCACAAATCAATCACTAGTGTGTACCTTTACAATGAAACATGTAGCTTATGCCAACACCCAAGCACACAACCCAGGGTAAGGTTTCTAGCGCTGACGTGGAGCTGGAAGGCACTGGCAGACATGTGCCAACGTCAGGAGTCATGGAGTCCACCCTAGTGTTTAGGACTCCGTCTGAGCTCAGGTGGGCAGAGGGACCTAGTATAGAGTTAATGCATTCTTGTGGATAGCTAGGGCAGCTGTGCAGCAAGTCCCCACCCCTCCCTAATACATCACCAACTGGCACAGGAAGATTGGGGACAGAAAGCCAGTCACTCTGTAAGGCTGTGATGAGCTAGCACAGAAATACACAGCAGAATCCTCCAGCTGCAAGGCGCTCATGTTCATCTCAGAGTGATAGTCACTGAACTGCTGCACTGAGAATCGGCTGGGGATGTTTCCTTTCTCTCTCTCCATTCTTTCATAATGCTGAATGAGGAACCTCAGTTCCTGCCCCAGAGTCTGCTGGTACCAGGCCACACTGTTATGTCCAGAGATGGGAATGCATGTCAGAGTGGACCTTCCTCCCCTTGCTTTGATTAGGTGTCTTGGAGACTGGATGACCCCAGGATTTGCTGAACCTGGGGAGGCAGGAGGCAGGAGTGAGCATCTGGAGGAAGAGGGCGTGGATGCAGCTGCAGTGAAGGAGTCAGGAGCAGTCCCTCCTGAGCTCAGGACTTACCTGTCCCCAGGAGAAAGACAGTGACACAGCAGAGCAGGGTGGGGCCCCAGGCAGAGTCAGGGAGGGCAGTGTCACTCATCCTTCTCCTCAGGATGCTGCTGTCCTTGTGAGAGCAGAGTCAGCTCCTCCTCTCTCTCTCCTCCTCTCATCTCACTGCCTGTGGTGTTGGGCTCTGAGGTCAGTGGTCTCATTGGCTCCCATAGGCTCTCTACACCCTTGGGCATACTCTGCTGGCTCAACCCCTCATTTAAGCTCAGCCTTAGTGTAAATGGAAATGGCTGTGCTGAATAAATACGACTGCCTGTGATGAAGTCCTTTTCATGCAGCTGCTTCTTTCTCTTTTAGTCTCGGTAGGTTTTGGATTGCCAAAAGTTTACGGCTCCATGTGCTGGTGACCAGTTTATGTGCAAAGATGATCGACCTCCTGGTCTCTGCCCTATGCCTGCTGAGCCAGCACTGTTTTTGGTTCCACAGCAAATACCCTACTGTGGGCTCCATGTTACAGCTCTGCATTTACCTTCCGAAGCACCACCCAAGGCTCTCTCCGTGGATCTGCAGTGCCTCCTAGTGACCAGATTGCAGATGATGCGCTGTACCTCCACGGCTAGAAACTCTCAGTCAGGCATCAAGAGTAAGCCAGAAAATGTCAAAGAATTTTTGCCTGTACTCATTTACCAACAAAACCTTAAAGAGTGCCTGTTGGAGCAAGATAAGCGGTGTGAAGGGAACTTCATTTTTCAGTACAAACAAACAGAAAAAATACAAAATCCAAAGCAACAACAACAGAAAAAAAACCCACAACACAATAAAATTGGAGTCTTTTCAGTGTATTCATTAGGTATCATCCGCCCTTGGATGGTGCAGAGACTTGAGGAAAACAGTCTTTGGTCACAGGAAATACGTAGAAGGCCTGACTGTGGATGACATCAGGTAAGAAGCCTCTAAGCACTTGGGAAAAATAAGCCTGTCCAAGGAGGAGGAAACAGAGAAGGGTACAATGTTGGAATTACTGTTGTATCAGCTAGCTTGTCATTCAAGAAACTTACATATTAAAGTTCTATGTCTGGATCCCCACTTGCAAAATACTTGACCATTTGAGTTCTTCCTCAGCTCACTTATACCTCATTCTCATTTTCTGTGTGTCTCCTTGTGAATATCATCTTCAATTTCATTAATCTTCCCTTCTGGAACATCCAATCTACTAGTACCTACATCAGCTGTTTCTCAGCACAGACACCACAATTTTATTTCTAGAAGTTTTATTGGGAACTTTTCATGTCTGTCCCATTTATACCAAAATGTTAAGGTATGTGCTGCAGTTATACTGTTTAATTCCATTATCAGTCCTATTTTCTTCCTTGTTTGCAAAGCTGTAATCTTTTATTAGATGCCAAACAGTATATTTTACGTTTGACACTGTTAAATACTGTGGGTTTCTTAACTAGTAAACTCACAGCTTTTTTTCTGCGATGTGCTTAAGTTATTGAGGAAAAAAAGGAGAAATTCCTAGAAGATCATTTTTGCCCCCCTTGTAGGGTTTGGCAAAGGTAGATATATAACATAGAGACGAACACGACTTAAAAAAATCCATAAAGTGGGGGATTGGAGAGATGCTTGGCAGATGGGGGGACTGGCTGTTCTTTCAGAGGTCCTGAGTTCACTTCCCAGCAATCACATGGTGGGTAATAACAGTCCAAAATAAGATCTGGTGCCCTCTTCTACCTGCAGGCTTATATGAGGGTAGAACGCTGTACACATAATAATAAATAAATAATTTTTTAATTCAATTTTAACACAGTGAAGTATTGGAATAAGCCAAATTTGTATGTACATTAAAAATATCAAATATTATATGCAGTGAAAGAAATGGAACACAAAGAGAAAGAAATTATAATTAAAATTCGGACTCCCCAAAATTGGCTAAGTCCTGGGTTTAAGGGAAGAATAATTAGTGCTTAAACGGTTTATACAGGAGTACGGATTAGGAAATATACAGCAATGATGTTTGTACAGCAGTGAATATGCACAAAAAAAACAGGGGCTTTTGTGGTAATTTGACTGTGATTGTCCCCCAATAAATTCACAGTAAGCTGCACTATTAAGAGGTATGTCATTTCTTGGAGGAAGTGTCACTATAAGAATGGTCTTTGAGGCCTCCTTTGCTCAAGATTAGCTCAGTGTGACACTTAGTTCATTTCCTGTGGTCTTGGAACAAGATATAGCCAGCATCATATCTGACTGTGTGTCACTATGAAGCCAGGACCATGACAATAATGGACTAAACCTATGAAATATAAACCAATTAAATGTTGTTCCTTGATAAGTGTTGCCATGGTCATGGGGTTTCTTCACAGCAATAGAAATCCTATTAGACAGTTATAGACATAAAAACAGTAATGAAGTTCAGAAAATGACTGTCCACCGTGTTACTTTGGTTTCATCTTCTTCTGACCTCAGGGTGTTTGGGGGAAAAAAACAAATATGGTAAAAACCTTCCTCTCAGCTTCTCCTGGTAGACAAAACACAGATTCTCCAAAGGAAGCATGTGAGCCTCTCCCTGGGAGTCCATCCAACCAGGGAATATTAAGTTATTACAGGGCAGACACTGGAGGCCAACCCCCTACTCAAACAGACGTCTCAGAGTCTAACACCCATCTCATATGGACATTTTCAGCCTTCCCCCAAAAATTTACTCTTCCCCAAGTCGTCGGCACCACCCTGTGAAGAGGGAATAGAAGTTTCTAGTTAGCAGTGTGTGTTTAGATATTTGTTTTCCTTTCATTTCATGCCTCTAGACATGGAATTAGTTTGCATAGGGTTTCTCCTGTTTATCTGTAAATTCATTTCATAGACACAATGTAGAGATTAAAGAAATATAGCCCCTGGACAGCAGTCAAAGTAAAACTTTATGTTGCCATATATTTTATCCTTAAAAAGTAAAAGTCAGAGGCTATCTTCAAAATGACATAAGTGGGTAAAAGTGAATATTAATAGCTGAATCTTCAATGGAAGAATATAAAGGAAAAGAACCTGAGTAATTCACATATAATTGTAATGAACATAACCTGTGTTTGCTGGCAAGAATCCTATGGAATGCTTTCTGATGTGGCTGTAATTTTCTTCTGTAGTATAACACAGATCCTGGTAGTCCACAGCTATGTGCACTATGCTTGTAATTCTTTAGAAAATGTTCCAATCTGTTAAGTTTGAGTTCAAGACTCATCTCTTCAGCTGTTGTTGCTTTATTTCTGAGTAAGAGTGAAAAAACATTAATGTTTTGTTGTAATTACTATTTACTCTTCTGTGACTTGACAATTTAGATGGAGCATTGCTGTATTTATTAGGTAATCTTTACTACAAATATTAATTTTCTATTTTGGATAATAATTACTTAAGTTAACATTGATTATATTACAAAGCAAATTAGTGCTTATTTCCTTTAGATGGGAAGCATTCTCCAAAGATTCGCATATTAAAGACTTAGTTCTCTATACTGTGTTTAGTGGAAGATCCTTGAGAAAGATCATGAAGGTTTTGATATCTGCCGGTGTCTGACTTGTATCAGTCTTAAACTACTGGGGCCATCTATTCCAGACTGAGTGGGGCTGTGTTTGAAACCAGCCGAACAGCACCACTGAGTGGGGGAGTGTGGATCAGGTAAGTCCTAGCTACCCAGCAGCCTTAAGAACTAGACACAGACATCTTGTCATTTCAGGAGGATTCTCCATCAATACTGGAGACCAGGGTTTATTCAAGCATCCTCTCAAATAGCTTTCCAAAAGCAGGGTACTGGCAGGAGACATCTACTGTCATGTATATAGGTCTGACTAGGAAATACTTCCTTTAACCCTAGAGATGGTCCTAGAATGCACATACACAAGCCCTCAGACATTCCTTAACAGCACGTCTCACCAGTTTTCAGGCACAATGGGCATGGGGCCTAAGTATTGTTACACAAACTAGAAGCCATTCTCCACTGTGGCCAGGCCATCCGGAGGTAACCAGCCTATATCTAAAAGAGCTCTTGGAATTGAACTGAGGCCTATATTTGAAATATCATATTCAGGCCAGACAGATATCCCCAATGGCTAATCCATGGGCTAATTTATATTTGAAAGGGCATTGAGTGATAAAGACAACTTCTGAAAGCAGCATCTCATAGAAGGATATAGCATGCAATTAAAAAATCTTTCTTCTCTTTTCTTCACTTCTCTTCTCATCTCTTCTCTTCCTTCTTGGCTGGCATGGGATGGCTGGCTTAGTTCTGCCATATTCTTCCAGCCATGCTGTTCTATTGCATTATTGAACAGGAAGTCCAATTAATCATAAACCAAAACCTCTGAACACTGATCCAAATTCCAAAATATATCTTCTTCTTTTATTTTCTCAGACCTCTCATGATGCCATAAAGGTGACAATGACATGCATCTCCAAACTCAATGCCCATCGACTCAAGTTTATTGCCCATTCTGTAAAATGTGGCATGAGCAGCTTTCTGCAGTTTTCTTGGCAATTACCACAAAATGAGCCAACTTACTGAAATATTGTAGCAGGATTGTCTGATAATTTTATTTATAAGTTTACCAAGATGTAAAAAAGAATAATATATCCTTGAATCTGGCATGGAAATTCTTCTTGCAACTTTGGCAAATTAAGACTACTGAGAGATGGGTTGTCTATCCCAGGATGACTCCTCATTAGTTAGGGTTTTATTGCTGTGAAGAGACACGATGAACATGGCAACTCTTTTAAAAGATAAACATTTCATTGGGTTGGCTTATGTTTTCAGAGGTTTAGTCCATTCTCATCATGGTACAACACAGTGGCATGTAGGCAGACATGGTTCTGGTTGCATCTTGATCCAAAGGAAACAGGAAGTGACCTGAATGTCACACTAAGTGAAACTTGATCAAATGAGACCTTAAAGCCCACTTCCACTGTGACATACTTCCTCCAACTAGGCTACATCTACTCCAATAAAGCCACATCTCTAAAAGACCACTCCTTATGAGCTTATGGGAGTCAATTACATTCCAGCAACTACATTCTGCTTCCTGACTCCCATAAATTCGTAACAGTATCATAATGCAAAAAGCATTTAGTCGAACTTCATTAGTCCCCGTAGTCTATCATAGTCTCAACAATGTTTAAAAGTCTAAAGTTCAAAGTTTCTCCTGAGATTCATGCAATCTCTTAGCTATAGTTCCCCTATAAAATCAAAATCAATAAACAGATCACCTACTCACAAAACATAATCCACATGATACACATTAACATTCTGAAACGTAGGAAAGGAAGCATAGTAAGAAAATACTGGACTGAAGCAAGGCCAAAACCCAGCTGGGCAAAGGACAAACTTGGCATCTTCAGATCTTTTGTCAAAACACTCTTCAGCTCTACAACTCCTTTGATCTTGACTACCGTATGCTTCTTTCTTTGGGGCTGTTTCTACCCCTTATTAGTAGCTTTTCTTGACAGGCATCCCACAGCTCTGGCATCTCCAGCATCTTGGGATCTCCAAGATAATCCAGGCTTCAATGTCACAGCTTCATACAATGGCCTCTTTAGGCCTACAATCAGCTCTGACACATGCCTGGCCACTGCAGCTTTCCTTAGTCACTGAGGCAAATTCCATAATACCGTCCTTGTATACTTAAAGCCAGTAATATGTGACCAAATCTGCCAGGTTCTACTGTTTACTGTGGCTGGAAAATGCCCGCCCCCTCAAACTCATTCACATCTTCACCAACTTTCTCTTTTCCATGGTTTCCTTTCCTACCTAAGCTTGGTTGTTCTGGAACTTGCTATTGACCAGGCTGGCCTTGAACTCAGAGATTATTCAATTACATCTTCATAAGTTTTCTGTTTTCGATGGTTTCCTTCATCACCTAAACTTGGCTGTTCTGGAACTTGCTCTATAGACCAGGCTGTCCTCAAATTCAAAGATCCACACACCTCTGCATTCTGACTGTTGGGTTTAAAAGCCTGAACCACCACACTAAGTTTTAAGCTTTTTTAAATTCCTTTTCACAAGTTGGAAACTTGGCTGTGAAGGATCTTGCCCTGAGGTTACCACTTCCTTTATTCCATTTCTTAATCTGCTCATCTCCTTCAACACATGACTTCCATTCCTCTTCTGTGGTCCTTTGCTCCTCAAATATTACATTTTGTGTTTTGCTTGCTAGGCGTGCTCCTTTTCACTATAAATATTCGTTAGAGATAACACTAAGAACCATATGAGAGAATCTACACTAGACGGCTTTGAGATTTCCTCTGTAAAGGGAATTAATCCAAAACTCTTCATGTTACCTACAAGCAGACTCTTTTGACAAAGGGGAAGTGCGCCACATTTTACAATGAAATCTCACCAGAGCCGGGCATTGTTGGTGCACACCTTTAATCCCAGCACTCGGGAGGCAGAGCGGGTGGATCTTTGGGAGGCCTGCCTGGTCTACAGAGAGAGTTCCACGACAGGCTCCAAAACAATACAGAGAAACCCTGTCTCAGAAAATAAAAAGAAATATCACGAGAAAGATCTTTTGGGAATACACTAAAATTCTTCTTTTAAACCTCTTGAGCAAGGCCCCCACAATTCAAATCACACTCAGCACCACTTTCTTCAGTGTCCCTACAAATGTGGCCCATTAAGTAGCACTTAAATCATTTTTCTAATCCACAGCCCCACTGCTCATATTCCTTCAAACAAAAGCATTGTCAGGCCTATCACAGCAATACCCTACTCCTGGTACCAACTCCTGTCTTAGTTGGGTTTTCCATTGCTGTGAGTAGACACCATGACCTCTGCAATTCTTACAAATGAAAAAACATTTAATTGGGACAGTTTACATTTTCAGAGGTTTAGTCCATTATCATCATAGTACAACATGGTAGCATGCAGGCAGATACGGTGCTGGCTACATCTTGATCTGAAGACAAGAGGTGAACTGAGTGTCACACTGAATGAAGCTTGAGCAATGGAGTCCTCAAAGCCCATCCTTACAGTAAGACTCTTTCTCCCGTCTATTTCAACAAAGCCACAACTCTTAATAGTACTGCTCTCTATTAGTTTATGGGGAAAATTACACTCAAAATACAACACTCTCCTAACATGGTTAACCAATCATAAGTAGGCATTCTTAAAAGTATACATATAGGTAACACTAAATAGATTCAACTGGTTGAAAACAATTGTTTATTCATGTCAAACAAAAAGAAAAAAAAGAAACCCCCAAAATAATAGTAATTAAAGAATAAGAGGTCCTGAATTCAAAAGAGGGGAGAATCTTGTGAGGAGCTAGAGGAAGAAGTAAAGGGAGAAATAATATGATTAAATTAAAATCTTCATGTCAAAGAAAAATAATCCAACCTGAAATGGATTTCCGTGGAAAGAAGAGATGCAGAACAAGATAGATGTATCTTCAGTTTAGGAGAAATATCCTAGGAAAATATCTCCAGGGTTGAAAAATACACAACACGTATGAGAAAGCAAGGGAATGTAGACAAATTTAGCTGGAGAGACAAAGGCTGATGATAGAGATGAGGGACGAAAGTGACAGAGGACATCCTGGGCTGTTGTCCTATAGCACAAAGGGGCTACTGACCTATAGAGGAAACATAGTCTGGAAAAGACCATAAAAGTGACTCCGTTGGATAGTGAAGTGCTTGGAGATGTCGCTGAAGGCCACAGGGAGGAATGTGCGGGTTGTGGCCTTATCAAAGAGGTCATGAGGAACTTCAATTAACGATTAGTTTTCAGCCAGTCCTAGTACTGGTAACACAAACCTTTAGTCCTAGCACCAGGGAGGCAGAGGCACTCGGATCTCCACCAGTTTTTGTCCAGTCTGGTTCACAGAGTGAGTTCCAGGACAGCCAAGATTGTTACACAGAGAAACTATCACAAAAACAACAAAACAATACAGAAAGTTTCAGTCTTTTTTCTCTGAAATCAGAAACAAGGGATGGAGATAAAACAGGCAGCCATGAAAAGGTGTTAGAGTAGACAAAGACCCATGCTGACATGGTCCTAGTTTTTCACAGCTTAGTGATTCTTACAGAGGCAGGGACTCCCCAGGGCACACAGGCAAGTTGACTTCCTAATTTATGTGCAGAGTGGAGGCAGCCACACATTGCTGTGCATCACTGCTGGCACAGAAGTACACAGCTGTCTGAGAGGGGGAAGCCGTCTCCAGAGCGAGGGAGTAGTTTGCTTGGCTTGGCCTGGTGGCTTTGAACCCATCAGGGACATCTCCAGTCTGTGTGTCACCAGCACCGAATGAGTAATGGATCAGCCTCAGTCCATGCCCCGGGTCCTGCCGATACCAGTACATATAGTTGTGGTTATCATTCTGCTGACAGCTCAGTTCCACCTTTCCTCCTGTTGCTGTCACCTTGCTTCTTGGGCTTTGGGTGACTGCAGCCTCCATGGGTTCTGTAATAGAGAGAGACAGAGCCTGATGATGTCATCTCAGCTATAAAAGACTTGGGAATTCTGGGAAGGGAAGCACACCTGTGTCCTGTCCAGCACTCACTTGCACACAGCAGACTCAAGGCCACACAGAAGAGCCTGACGTCCATCTCAGGACCAAGGCGAGATGTGATGTCTTCCAGCCCTGTTTGTGGAAACGAGAGCTGGGGCTCTCAGTGACTTAGTGATGTCACTGTTTCCAACAAATGCTTGAGCTGCAGAGTTGACATGCCCCGCCCCTTCCCTACAGTAGCAAGTCAACTTTCAATTATAATCGCATAGTTGGATTACACAAAAATATTATACAATAATTTTCAGGCATACACAATTAACAACTGAGATTTCAAGATCTGGAGTTTGTTTTGTGTTTATACATGCATGTACTTTCCCTGATCTTAGTCAACATCTTAGGTTTCTTGAATTCTTACTATAGTAGAACACTTTAGTTTATATTGTTTTATTTTCATACTATTTGTGTAGTTCCAGCTGCAGCCTAGTAACATGCTGTATTGTTTGAAATTTCTACTAGTTCTTTACTTTGTCTAAATGCTGGAAGAGAAACCTTCAGTGCCATCTATGGCAACAAGAACTGCTTGGCACCCAGAGAGTTTATACAACACCAAGGTTGAGATCATGACACTTTGAACCATTCTTTTAAGCTAACTCATACAAATTCATGGACACAAGGTCAACATAACAGTCTTGGCCCTCACTGTGTCTTCATCATTTAAAAAACAAAGCAAGTAAACAAGCAAACAAAAACCCCCTCACTTTCCTTCAGGTGATGCTGAGCAAGACCAGCCTAAGCTTTTCTCACTGTTATTCCTGTCAAGAGAATCTCCTTCAGCAGTGTGGGTGAGCTGTTTGCCTGGTAATATGCAGGTCTGGTTCCTCCAGGTTCCTAGGGAAATGTAACCACTTCATTCAAAAGCTCATTTCATAAATTCACTAACATGAAATGCATGCCTCCACTCAAAGGCACTACAGGTTCCTTACTAGAAAGTATATCTCAGTTACTTCTTATTCAGATAATATCAAAGCATGAAGCTTCCTTCTGTTGCCACATACCCTGATGGTATCTTGATGGCTGTTTTTATAATGCTATACTGGTGAGGAAGGGCTCATAAGCAGATGCAGAGATATCGGGAACAGCACAACATCCTTATGAAGAAGCTGAGAAGAGACTCTGGCCATCCCAGAAAGAACAGAGCTCTCAGTGCTCAAGACTTGACTTGTCCCCAGAGACCAAGAACCAAGAATAAAAAAGTCCATTGTCCATGGTTGAGTCCGTCCAAGATAGAGCTACTTTCTACTTTGACTTAACTGTTTGGAGTGGGAATATGAGATTTCATACCTCTTAAGTTCATGTCCAAAACAAGGTCTGATCTACCAGCAATGTTAGTCTTCTGGACAAATTTCTGATTTCACTGGAAAGAGAAACATCTGCCATAAATATCTCTTTATTTTCCTTTTAAATTGATTATTTGATTACTGAGTAACAAAAATTTTGTTGAAAATTAAACCTCATCTTGAAACTGTGACAATACAAGCATTATCTGACTTAATAATATACATCTATAAGCTGTCAGCGCCCTATACACGTACAAGCTAATCTCAGCTAGTCTTATAAGACAAGAGAAAGTAACCTGCTACTTTGGACTAAAACTGAGAGACACCAAGGAAATTCCAAACTTTGACATAGAGGCAAAGAAAGGCAGGTTACAATCCTTATATTGATTATCTTAAACATGGAATGTAAGGAAATTTCATAAGCTACTGATTCCTATTGAAGTGTTGTATAGAAATCTTCATCTTAAAAATGGATACGTTAATGTCTATCTTGTCTTAAAACACTTTGCCTATGGCCACACCCAAAGACAAAGTAGCCTTTCCTAATACTGATTAGGAGCTGAAAGATGCTGGCAGAGACATGAGGAAATCTGGAATCTTGGGATCAACCCCAGTGTTTAGGACTCGCTGTATGGGCTCAGCAGGGCAGTGGGGATATTTGTAAAACCTACAAGAATTCCTGGGCCTTGGCTAAGGCTGTGTGAGACTGCATCAGCAGTGGGAGCAGGAAGATTGGGGACAGAAAGCCAGTCACTCTGTAAGGCTGTGATGAGCTAGCACAGAAATACACAGCAGAATCCTCCAGCTGCAAGGCGCTCATGTTCATCTCAGAGTGATAGTCACTGAACTGCTGCACTGAGAACCGGCTGGGGATGTTTCCTTTCTCTCTCTCCATTTTTTCATAATGCTGAATGAGGAACTTCAGTTCTTGCCCCAGAGTCTGCTGGTAACAGGCCACACTGGCATGTCCAGACATGGGAATGCATTTCAGAGTGGACCTTCCTCCCCTTGCTTTGATTAGGTGTCTTGGAGACTGGATGACCCCGGGATTTGCTGAACCTGGGGAGGCAGGAGGCAGGAGTGAGCATCTGGAGGAAGAGGGCGTGGATGCAGCTGCAGTGAAGGAGTCAGGAGCAGTCCCTCCAGAGCTCAGGACTTACCTGTCCCCAGGAGAAAGACAGTGACACAGCAAAGCAGGGTGGGGCCCCAGGCAGAGTCAGGGAGGGCAGTGTCACTCATCCTTCTCCTCAGGATGCTGCTGTCCTTGTGAGAGCAGAGATCTCGTCGACTCCCATAGGCTCTCTGTACCCTTGGGCATACTCTGCTGGCTCAACCCCTCCCCTTTAGGCTCAGCCTGCTTAGTGGAAGGGGAGACGGCTGTGCTAAATAAATATGGCTGTCTGTGGAGAAGTCCTTTCCATGCTTTCCTCTGTGTCAAGAGCTTCCTTCTCTTGTCCTATCTCCAGGTGTTTGGATTGCCATGTCTCCAGATCATTGCTCCCTGTGGTAATGCCCAGTGGGTGTGCAATGAAGATTGAAACTGCCCCACCTCCATCCCAGCCAGCTACCCTGTCCCTCTTGAACCTGCACTGTTCTAGTTCCTCAGCTAATAACTCACTGTTGTCTCCCTAACGGGGCTCTGCCTGCATCCACCTTCTGAAGATATGTCAGCTGCTCCCTCAGCAGTTCCCCCTAGTGGCCAGCTGTGCACTCGCTGGACTGCACCTCTACTTGCTATGGTGGAGGTGGCCTGGTGCTCTCAGAATCAGGGATCAGAGAGCACTGTTCCCTGTGCCTGTTACTTGCCAAAAGCTCACATTTTGTCCGTGGTAGTGAGAGACAATGAAGGAACGTCAATTTTCAAAAAAGAAACAGAAAAACAGAGGAGCCCAAACCAAAGGAAACCACAGCAGAATACATCGAATCTTATCACAGTGTCTGAGGGAGACACACACTAGTCTTCAGATGTCACCTGCCCTGGGAAAGGGTTAGAGGTGAGGAAACAGGTGCCGGTCAAAGGAAATGCCCAGAACGGCAGACCGCAGATGCTGTCAGTGGAAACGCTTCTGAGAAGTTGGAAAAATAAACCAGTCTAGGGAAGAGAAAGCTGAGAAGGGTAGAATCTTTGTTGTAAAACAGATAGCTTGCTTTTGGAACATAAAATTCAACGTTAAAGTTTCACACTGCTTGCTGTTTGACCGTTTGAGCTTATCCTCAGCTCACTTAACTCCTTCTTCTCATTTTCTCTGTGCTTCCTTATGAATACCACGTTCAAATTCATCAGTCCTTCCTTCTGGAGCAGCCAATGCGCTGCTACCTACAGCCAGCCATTTCTCAGCGCAGACACCACGACTTTATTTCTAGACGTTTGACTGGGAAGTTTGCGTGCCTCCCACTTTTAAGGTCATCTAATAGATATGTGCTGCCTTTGCACTGTGTAATGCCATCGTCAGCCAGTTTGTCAGAAATCTAGTGACTCATTTCTCCCAGTGTGGTGAGCGGTCTATTTTCTTTACATCTATACAAAACTATAATCATTTATTAGATTGCAAATGTGTATTTTATGTTTAACTGTGTTAGATACCATGGTTTTCTTATTAATACATTCGTAAGTCTATTCTGCAGTGTGCTTATGTCACAGAGGAACAAAAATCAAGGAGACTCCTAGTAGATCATTATTGTTTTTAAAGACAGGCTTTGGCAAAGATATATATCAATCTCATAGGCATGGACCCAACTTAAAAACCCCATAAATTGGTGGTCATGAAGAAAAATGTGCAATTTTAATGCAATGAAGTATTGAAATAATTCAAGATCTTATGCATATTAAAAATGTATCAAACGTTATGTGAACTGAAAGAAACCAGTCACAAAGGAAAATAAATTACAGTTCTAAACACAGGCTTCCTAAAATGGCAAGATCACGGCATGGCAGGAAGAATAGTTACTTTTCAATGAGTTTAGAGATGAAAATTTTGGGGGAAATAGTAACGATGGCTATACATCAGAACAGTTATTTGTGAAATATTACAGAGTTATAGGTATTAGCACTTTGATGGAGTTCAGTAAATGCTGTCCAGTATGCTATTTTAGTTTCTGCTTCTTCTAATCTAAAGGTGTTTGGGAAGAAACATATTTGAAAAAAAAACTTTCTCTGAGCTTCTCCTGGTAGACAAAGCACAGATTCACCAAAGGAAGCATGTGAGCCTCTCCCAGGGAGTCCAGCCAGCAGGGAGGATTAAGTTATCACAGGAGAGGACACTGGAGGCCCACCCCATGCCCAGACAGACTTCTCAGAATCTAACATCCTTTTCCGTTTTTTTTAAAATTTTTTTGTTGCTTTGGGATATTGCTTTGGAGGCTGTCCTGGAACTCACTCTGGAGACCAGAGTGGCCTCGAACTCACAGAGATCCATCTGCCTGTCTCTGCCTCCAAAGTGCTGGGATTAAAGGCGTGTGCCACCAACAGCCGGCACCTAACATCTATTTCTTAAGGACATTTCCATGTTTCCCCCAAACATTTATTATTTCCTAACCTTCCTGCATCACCTTACACCTCAGCCTGTGAGAGGGAATAGAAGTTTCTAGATACCAGTAGTTGTTTAGATATTCATTGTCCTTTCGTTTCACATCCCAGGGCACGAAATTAGATTGCATAGCTTTTTGCTTGGTGATGTGTGAATCTACTTCCTAGAGAGTAAACAAACATGACCTTTTCCATACACATCAGCATAGTTCACAGCTCCATGCACATTCTGTTTTGTACTACTTTAGAAAATTGTTCCTATCTGCTAAGCTTGAACGCAGCACTCAACACTTCAGCTGCTGATGCTGTTTTTAAGTGACAATGAAAAAAGCTAATGTTTTGAGGTAATTCCTATCTATTCTTCTGTGATTTGATAACTTATGCAGAATCTGGCTGTATTTATTAGGTAATATTTATTAACAAAAATTGATTTAATGATTAATAGTGATGTTTTTCTATACTCATGGACGGGAGACTTGGTCAGTCATTACATAGGCTTCCTCAGGCAGTAGATGGGAGTAGCTTCAGAACCACAGCCAGAATAGCCATTATTTGTAAAGTCAAAATTAGGGTTCTCCATGGGTCCCTCCCTTTGAGATCTGGGAACTCTGAACAGGAGAGAGACGGATCACTGTAGGAGTCAGGGGATGGGGGATGCCAGGAGAACATGTCCCACCAAATCAGCTAAGCAGGGTGACTCCCATAGGCTCACAGAGACGGAAATGGAAGAATAGGGCCTGTATGGGTCTGCAGTAGGTCCTCTGCACGTATGTAAGGCTGTTAGGTCTTTCTTGTGGTGCTCCTAACAGTGGGAGAGGGTATATCTCTGACTCTTGCCTGCTACTGAGACTCTTTTCTTTCTATTGTATTACCTTGTTCAGCCTCAATATGAGGGCTTTTGCCTTTCTCTCTCTTCCTTTTCTTCTCTCATACAATACATCCAGACCCAGCTTCCCCTCCCTCCTCTCTTCCTTGTCTTGTGCTGATTAGCTGTTTTCTTTAGGAAGCCTGCTCTGAGATTTAGTGGAAGTGGATCTGGGGGAGCTGAGGCAGGAGGAGAGCTAGGGGGAGTTGGAGGGAGGGGAAACTGTGGTTGGATGTACTGTATGAGAGAAGAATCTACTTTCAACAAAAATAAATTAATAAACATTCCTTTTCTGTTTTGGATAATTATACCAGGCAAGGTGTGTGAATTACAAATCAAAATTGGGCTTATTCGTTTTATATGGGAAGCATCCCCCCAAATTTAATTTATTAAAGGCTTACTTTTCTATACAATGCTCAGAGGAAGGGCTTTGACAAAATTAGATCAGGAAGGCTTTGATTTAGACATTGTCTCATCTATAGATAGATTTATAATGGAAAACACAGCCTACTAGGAGGTTATATGTCACCAGAGGAATTCAGTTAAAAGACTATCTATCATCTATCTATCTATCTATCTATCTATCTATCTATGTATCATCTATCTTCTATCTCCTTCTCTTCCTCATTCTCCACCTCCTCTTCCTCCTCTTCCTATTCTCCTCTCTTCTCTTCTTTGCTTTCTCTTTCTCATTGCCTGTCATGAAATGGGAAACACAGCTCTGCTATATTCTCCCTGCTAGTCTGTTCTGCCACATCACAGACTCCTCAAGTCACAGGCTCAATTAAACATAGAGCAAAACTGATGTGCTGAGGTTAAACATTCCTTCCTCCTTCTTTTTCATAGACCTGTCATCATGCCAGAAACGTGACTATGGTATGAATCTCCAGACTCAATACTGAGGCAGTTTGATTGCCCATTCTCTAAAATACAGCGTCCCTTGAGCAGCATCGTGAAGTTGTCTACCCAATTACCATGCGCTGAGCCAAGTTACACAGTAAAACAAGAGAATCTGATGCTTTCATTTGTAAATTCATCAAGATATAGAAAAGGAGTATTGGGTCTTGAAATCTGTCCCTGTATTCTGTCCAGCTATTTTTACTCTTGTGATTAAGACTGCAGAGAAAGGGGAGGTAGTCTTCCCCAGGATGAGTCCCCTGCATGGTTATCCAAACACAAGCAGGTATCCCAAATAGTGTAAGTCTTTATAACAGTAAATAGACATGAAAGGTCATAATTCTTTATTAATTCATACCATACACAAAAAAACCAAAAGTAATAATAACAATTAAAGAATTAGAGGACTTGAATCTTAAAGGGGAGAGAATCAAGTGAGGCTCTAGAGGAAGAGGTAAGGGAAGAGACAATGTAATTACATGAAAATCTTAGAAAGGTAAACAAGAAACCCAGCCTGAAAGACAGTTTCATGGGAAGTAGAAAACAAGAACAAGAGGGGAAGACATGTCTTCATTGCAGAGGAGATGTCCTAGGAAAATGTCTCCAGAGTTGAAAACAGCGCAACAGAAAGGAAGAAACAATGAGATGTAGACAAGTTTAGCTTGAGAGGAAAGAACCATGGAAGGCTGAGTACATGCTGATGACGGATTTGAGGGAAGAGAACGACATGGGCTATTGCCATACAGAACACAGAGGCTACTGACCTATAGAGGAAACACAGCCTGGAAGGAGACCATACAAGTGACTCAGATGTACAGTAAGTGGCTGAAGAGTTCACTGAGGCCACAAGGAGGGAGATTATTAAGAGTCATCAGGAGCTTCAATTCAGGGTTCCGGTTCCTCTCTGAAAGCAGACACAAGGGGTGGAGAAGAGATAAGCAGCTACGGAAAGATGTCAGAGTGGACTTCAGCCAGGCTGAGACCCATGCTGACATGGTCCTAGTTTTTCACAGTTTAGTAATTCTTACAGAGGCAGGGACTCCCCAGGGCACACAGGCAAGATGACTTCCTAATTTATGTGCAGACAGGAGGCAGTCACACATTGCTGTGCATCACTGCTGGCACAGAAGTACACAGCTGTCTGAGAGGGGGAAGCCGTCTCCAGAGCAAGGGAGAAGTTTGCTTGGCTTGGTCTGGTGGCTTTGTACCCATCAGGAACATCTCCAGTCTGTGTGTTATCAGCACCATATGAGTAATGGATCAGCCTCAGTCCATGCCCTGGGTCCTGCCGATACCAGTACATATTGTTGTGGTTATTAGTCTGGTGACAGCTCAGTTCCACCTTTCCTCCTGTTGCTGTCACCTTGCTTCTAGGGCTTTGGGTGACTGCAGCCTCCATGGGTTCTGTAATAGAGAGAGACAGAGCCTGATGATGTCATCTCAGCTCAAAGACTTGGGAATTCTGGGAAGGGAAGCACACCTGTGTCCTGTCCAGCACTCACTTGCACACAGCAGACTCAAGGCCGCACAGAAGAGCCTGATGTCCATCTCAGGACCAAGGCGAGATGTGATGTCTTCCAGCCCTGTTTGTGGAAACTAGAGCTGAGGCTCTCAGTGACTTAGTGATGTCACTGTTTCCAACAAATGCTTGAGCTGCAGAGTTGACATGCCCCGCCCCTTCCCTACAGTAGCAAGTTGATTTTAAAGCATAATGTTTTTGTTACTTCATGCAACAATGTTTATATGGGATAAACAAAAGTTACCAACAGAGATGGGAAAGATTTTGTGACTTGGTTTTTTTTTTTTATTTCTAGATGCATGAGCTCTTTCTTTGATTTTACTCCTTGTTAGGGTTAGGGATGTTGAATATGTAAACCTGATCTTGAAACTCTGGCAATACTAACTTTATCTGACTTAATATCATGTGTGTATAATCTGGCAGCTCCTCCCCACACATACATACTAACCCCACCTTGTCTTATAACATCCGAGACAGTGAGCTGCTATGTTTTTTACCTAAACTGAGAAGTTTCAGGAGCTATCTACAGGGGTGGAAAGTTCTCAGCAGAGAGTGTATGGAGCTGGCAAGGGAAGGAGGTGAGCCAGGCCATGTTGGTCAGGAATATTTTGCAGTCTAAATGACAAGCAGACAGAGTGTTTCGTTATTCATATAGAATTTAATAAGTATGGGTACATACATGTTGTTCTAAAACTTAGATCATATCATTCTTGTTTTTGAACATGTGTTTAACATATTCTCTTATCCATCTTTTAGTCATCATTAATAAACTATGACAAAACAGAGCTATAATTTCCAATCATTTTCCCTCAAGTTTTGACATCATTAATTAAACAGTTATCATTTTTAAACACTCTTACTCATTAACCTCATCAACCAATTTTTAAGAATTTAGAGATATATGACAGCGTGTTCCCACACTGTATCTTTTGTGGTTACAAGGACACTAGACCAAAACAAAATCTTCAAGCCAGCCCAGGCAGTTTGTCATGTCCCAAGCAGTACATAATTAACTCTTAATGGTCAGTGTGGCCAAGAAATATCCTCAGGCCAAAGCTGCTGCAGTTATTATTTAAATGCTGGCATAGCACAATGCTCACATTTATAAAATTTGTTTATAAGTCTAATCCTGACATTCTGTTGTTCCTTGGTCATATGGCATCACAGGGACTCTGCATGAGCTAACGTTTCTAAGGAAAGGAGGTCCTGACATCTCATTCTGTTTATTTTGGGAGGGTTCGAGACAGGGTTTCTTTGTAGTTTTGGAGGCTGTCCTGGAACTCGCTCTGTAGACCAGGCTGGTCTCCAACTCACAGATATCTGCCTGCCTCTTCCACCTGAGTGCTGGGATTAAAGGCGTGCGCCACCAATGCCCAGGCATCTCATCTTTTGTCATCTTTCTGCATCAGTCTTTGCCCATTAGCATAAGTCTCTATGTAGGACAGAGTTAACCTCAGCTAATCCAGATTTGTTGCTGTATATGCCACATAATCACCTGAGTGTACACCGTGAAGAGGCTTGCCCCCATAGCTGTGGCCCACTCCTCCCCCCAACCGAGGCTCGCTGACCCTTTTTGAGTTTACTTTGTATTGAATACCTTGTCCTGTGTAAGCACAGGGGAAAATGTTTCAAAAATGTCTCATAGCCTCATAAAGAGACCTCTGACTTTGTGTGTGTCACAACCTCCAAGGCATAAGGAAGACCTTCAAGTAGATTAAGGATGTCTCCCTAAAAGCAGGGAGGGGTAGTATGCTCAGGATTGCACTGGGGAAGCTCAGAGACAGTACTCCTGAGCAAAGGCATAGATGATTTATGAAAAATGTTCCATAAATTCAACACGCCCAGATTGTACAAGTATTAAAAATCCCCCAAGAACTTTGGACTTCCATCCAACAATGTGAGATGCACTCTCACCCTGAACTCTTGGGGGAGGGTCTAGGCCCTGCCCTGGATGAAATGACAGACTATGGACACCCCCATGGAGGGCCTCATCCTCCCTGGGGAAATGAGGGGATATTGGGGGGTTTGGGGGAGGGGCATGGGAGGAGGGGAGGGAAACAGAGAGGGACCTGGAACTGACTTGTGAAGCAACCTTGTTTCTAATCTAAATTTAAACTTAAAAATAAATAATAAAAAAGTGAAAACAAATCCCCCAAGTATGCAACAGATGGAGACAAAAACCAAATGTGGCACGGTAGCCATCATGAGGCTCAGCTTGCTGTGTCGTTCTAAAGAAGCTGCTGCGGATTTATGACTTTTATTGTCCCCATCAAAGATGGCTGTCACAGGGAAGCACCAAGGACATTTGGAAGGTTGACTTAGAAGGCTAAGAGATGCAACTTTCAGTTCATTTGTTGATGTATTCAAACATGAATGTTGGGAAATTTCAAAAAGCTTCTGATTCCTATTGATGTATAGAAATCTTCATCTACAACTGGATATGTTAATGTCTACCCTTGTCTTAAAACAGATGGGCCAGAGTCATAACATAACACAGTAAGGTTCCACCCACTGGGTAGGAGACAAGTGAGACCATTTGGACTCTTAGGGTCCACACCAGTTTTAGGACCATTCTGTGTGAGCTCAGTTAGTTGAGGAGGGTATTATGAAAGAGCTATAGGCGTTTCTGGGCCGTGGCTAAGGCTGTAAGCCACCTCAAGAGGCCTAACTAGTATATAACCAGTGGGAGCAGGAAGATTGGGGACAGAAAGCCAGTCACTCTGTAAGGCTGTGATGAGCTAGCACAGAAATACACAGCAGAATCCTCCAGCTGCAAGGCGCTCATGTTCATCTCAGAGTGATAGTCACTGAACTGCTGCACTGAGAATCGGCTGGGCATGCTCCCTTTCTCTGTCTCCATTTTTTCATAATGCTGAATGAGGAACTTCAGTTCCTGCCCCAGAGTCTGCTGGTACCAGCTCACACCGTTATGTCCAGACATGGGAATGCATATCAGAGTGGACCTTCCTCCCTTGGCTTTGATTAGGTGTCTTGGAGACTGGATGACCCCGGGATTTGCTGAACCTGGGGAGGCAGGAGGCAGCAGTGAGCATCTGGAGGAAGAGGGCATGGATGCAGCTGCAGTGAAGGAGTCAGGAGCAGTCCCTCCAGAGCTCAGGACTTACCTGTCCCCAGGAGAAAGACAGTGACACAGCAGAGCAGGGTGGGGCCCCAGGCAGAGTCAGGGAGGGCAGTGTCACTCATCCTTCTCCTCAGGATGCTGCTGTCCTTGTGAGAGCAGAGTCAGCTCCTCCTCTCTCTCCTCCTCTCATCTCACTGCCTGTGATGTCGGGCTCTGAGATCAGTGATCTTGTTGGCTCCCATAGGGTCCCTTCACCCTTGAGCATACTCTGCTGGCTCAACCCCTCCCCTTTAGGCTCAGCCTGCTTAGTGGAAGGGGAGATGGCTGTCTGTGGAAGAGTCCTTTCCATGATTTCCTCTGAGACAGTAGCTTCCTTCTCCTGTATTTTCAAGGTTACATTTCATGGCTGCCCAGTGGGTACGTAAAGATGATCAACCTCTCTTTCCCTGCCTTATGTCTCCTGAGCAGCATGGTTTCTGCTTTCACAGCTCACACCCAACTGTGGACTCCCAACCAGAGCTCTGCAGCAGCTCACTCCGTGGATCTGCAGTGCCCCCTAGTGGCCAGCTGTGCAGTCACTGGGTTGTACCTCTACTGGCTGTGGTAGAGGGTGTTATGGAGCTCAAAATCAGGCATCTGGGGTGAACCAGAAAATATTGAAGAGTTGTTTTCAGTTCCAGTTTACCCCCCCCAAAATCAAATGTTGTCTGTGCTACTGCAGGAGGCATAAAAGAAACTCATTTTAAAAGAAAAAAATCTAAGTCCAAGTCTAAGACATATCATGGTGTTGCAAGGAGTCATACAAAAGGCATTAGATGCCAGATGCCTTTGGAAGGGGCTGGACCTGGATAAAACACCTTCAGGCTCAGAGAATTTTTATGACAGAGTGGGACCAGTCTAAGGAAGTGAAAGCTGAAAAGGGAACAATGTTGGGGTTATTGTTGTAATAGGAAGCTTGTATTTGAAGGGATTTAAATATTAAAATTCTTCATTGGAATCCCCACTTGCAAAATATTGGACCGTTTGAGGTCATCATCAGCTCACTTATACCTTGTTCTCATTTTCTGTGTGTCTCCTTGTGAGTATCATCTTCAAATTCATTAATCTTTCCTTCTGGAGCATCCAATCTACTGGTACCTACAGCAGCTGTTTCTCGGCACAGACACCACAATGTTATTTCTAGACTTTGATTGGGAACTTTGTATGTTTGCCCTATTCCTGCGAAATTGATATCATACATGCTGTAGTTGTACTGTTTAATGTCATTGTCAGCCAATTTGTCAGAAATAGGTTGTTTTCTAGTGATTGATTTTTCTCATAGTGGTGAGTCCTATTTTCTTCCTTCTGTACAAACCTGTAATCTTTTATTAGATGCCAACCTGTATATTTTATGTTTGAGAGTGTTAGATACTGTGGTTTTCTTATTAATACATTTGTAGCTTTATTCTACATTGTGCTTATGTAACTGAGAAACAAAAATCAGAGAAATTCCTAGCAGATCATTATTGTTTTTATAGGCAGGCTTTGGCAAAGAAGATATATAAAGTAGACATGGACCCAACTTAAAAATCCATAAATTGATGGACAGGTAGAAAAATGTACAATTTCAAAACAGTTACATATATTTAAATAAGTATTTGTATACATATTAAAATGTATCATATATTATGTCAAGTGAAAGAAACCAGTCACAAAGAGAAAAATTATAATTGTGAACATAGACTTCCTAAAAGAGGCAAGATTGGGTCCCTGAGGAAGAATAGTTAATACTTTATTGATTTAAAGAGGAAAACTTCTTGGCAAATACCTAGTATGTTGGTTCTACTACACGATGAGTATGTGTAAAATACCATGAGATTACAGATATAAAAACACTTATGGAGTTCAGGAAATGACTGTGCAGTATGCTATTTTAGTTTCTGCTTCTTCTGACCTAAAGGTGCTAGGGAAAAAACAAATTTGGAAAAAACAAAACAAAACCCTTTGTCTCAGCTTCTCCTGGTAGACAACGCACAGATTCTATGAAAGAAGCTTGTGAGCCTCTCTCCGGGAGCCCACCCAATCAGGGAGGATTAAGTTATCATAGGAGGAGACACTGGAGGCCCACTCCATGCACAGACAGACTTTTTGGAGTCTATCATCCATTGCTTTAGGAAATTTTCCGTTTTCCCCAAACATTTATTCTTCCTCAGTCTTCCTGCATGCCCCACACCTCAGCCTGTGAAGAGGAAATAGAAGTTTCTAGATGCCAGTAGGTGCTTAGATGTTCATTGTCCTTTCATTTTACATCCCAAGGCATGCAATTAACTTGCATAGCTTTTTGCCTGCTGATCTGCGAATTCATTTCCAAGATACAACGCAAAGACTAAGTGAATGTATCTTCTCCCATAAGCATCAAACTGAAATTTGTTGTTACCATGTGTCTCATTGCCGTCATAAAAATTAAAAAGGAAAGAAAGGGAGATTACCTTCACAATTACAAAGAAAGTAAAAATAAATATTAATAGCTTCATCCTCCATGGATGTAGTTAAAGAGGAAAGGACCCAAGTAATTCAGACGCACGGGTTACTCATAAAATGGTGTTTGTTAGAAAGCAATCCCATGGAGTATTTTTTGGTGTGCCTGTCATTTTCTTCTATAGTATAAGACAGTTCCTGGCAGCTCACAGATCTATGTTCATCTGTTTCATAATTCTGTAGAAAATGTTTCTATCTGGTCAATTTGAATTTAAGACTCAGCACTTCATCTGCTGCTGGGTTGTTTATAAGTGACTGTGAAAGAAGTTAATGTTTCTTTTAATTCCATTTACTCTGTTTTGACATGACAGTTTAGGAGGAGCATTCTGTATTTGCTGGGTTGTCTTTTTATTAATATTAGTATTATTTGTATTTTGGGGGTAAGAACTCTGCAGGCAAGGCATTGCTACATTACAAAGCAAAAGAGTGCTTGTTTGGTTTAAATGTTAACTGTTCCTCAAAGATTCAGTTATGAATGATTTACTGGTCTACCAGTATTCATAGGAAGGGCTTTGAGAAAGATTAGATCATGGAGGCTTAGGTTTCACCAATGGCTAATCTACAGATAGGTTTATAACAGAAAGGACATTGAATCATGTAGACAACTTCAGAAAGAAGGGGCCTCTAGAATCAAACACTAAAAGATCTCTCTCTCTCTCTCCCTTCCTCCCTCCCTCCCTCCTTCCTTTCCTCCCTCCTTGCTTCTTCACTGTCATGAGATTGGCGTGTCAGCTCTATTTTATTCTTAAGCCACACCACAGGTCCAACTAATTATAGACCAAAACACTGAAATACAAAGGCAAAAAAGACTTTCTTCCTTTATTAAATCTGTCATGATGCCAGAAAGTCCCTATGACATGGATCTCCAAACTCAATACCCATTCTGTAAAATGTAGTGTCTCATGAGCAACTTCCCGCAGCTGTCTACCCAATTACCATGCACTGAGCCAAGTTACTTACACATTATAACAAAAGAATATGAGATTTATGTTTCTAAATTCAGCAAAACCTTGATATCTGGAATGCTAATACCTCCAGCATTTATTTTTCTGGATATTGGGGAATTAGTTTTCCATTTTCCAAGCAAGAATGGTCACCCTAATCTATATATTCATGTCACACCAAAAAAACCTCACCAAAAACAATAATTAAAAGTTAAGAGATCATGACTTTTAAAGCAGGGGAAATGTGAACAGTCAGAGGGACGAGGAGAGGAAACAATCTCATTAAATGAAAACCAGAAGGAGAGGAAATAATCTCATTAAATGAAAACCTGAAAAAGTTAAAGAAAAATAATTCTGTTTGAAATATATTTTTGATGGGAAGGCATGACACAGAAGCAAGGGAAAGACATGCCTTCAGTGCAGAAGAAACGTTCTTAGAAAACGTCTCCATGGTTGAAGACAGCACAGCACATATGAGGAGGTAAGGGAAGGCAGAGAGGGTCAGCTGGAGTGGAAAGAAACTGGAAAAGCTAGGGAAAGACATACGTGAAGGCAAAGACATAGGACCTTATGGGCTATTGTCCTATAACACAAAGGGGCTACCGCCCTACAGAGTGAGCAGAACCTGGGGAGAGATGATACTTACAGAGGCAGGGACTTCCTAGGGATGCACAGCCATCCCGATTTCCTAATTTACTTTATGTGCAGAGAGGAGGCAGCCACGAATTGCTGTGCATCACTGCTGGCACAGAAGTACACAGCTGTCTGAGAGGGGGAAGCCATCTCCAGAGCGAGGGAGAAGTTTGCTTGGCTTGGTCTGGAGGCTTTGTACCCATCAGGGACATCTCCTTTCTCTGTGGTACCAGCACCGAATGAGTAATGGATCAGCCTCAGTCCATGCCCTGGGTCCTGCCGATACCAGTACATATTGTTGTGGTTAAAAGTCTGGTGACAGCTCAGTTCCACCTTTCCTCCTGTTGCTGTCACCTTGCTTCTTGGGCTTTGGGTGACTGCAGCCTCCATGGGTTCTGTAATAGAGAGAGACAGAGCCTGATGATGTCATCTCAGCTCAAAGACTTGGGAATTTTGGGTAGGGAAGCACACCTCTGTCCTGTCCAGCACTCACTTGCACACAGCAGACTCAAGGCCACACAGAAGAGCCTGACGTCCATCTCAGGACCAAGGCAAGATCTGATGTCTTCCAGCCCGCTTTGTGGAAACGAGAGCTGGGGCTCTCAGTGACTTAGTGATGTCACTGTCTCTAACGAATGCTTGAGCTGCACCATGCTCCTTTCATATAGAAGCAAGTTAGCTTTCAATTGTAAGTGCATAGGTGAAATGTGCAACAATATTTGGAATGTATTTTCAAAAATTTCCAGCTCAGAAAAGAATTTGTAGTTTATTTTTTATTTTCTAGAAGTCTGTACTCTTTCTCTTATTTTAGTCAGTATATTAGGCTTATATTATTCCTACTATGATACCATTCTGTACTTACATTGCTTTATTGTTTGCTATTTGCAGAGTCTCGATGCACCTTGGAAATGCAATATGCTTTCTATGCAGTTTCTACTAATTATTTACTTAGTCTAAATACTGGAAGATAAACTGTCAGTGTCATCTATGACTACAAGGACTGCTTGACACCCAGAAAGCTTACAAGACACCAAGATTAAGGTTATTACAAATTGAACAATTGTTTTGAGCTATCCCATACCAATTCAGGGACATAAGCTTCACATTCTAGGTTCAGCCCAGAGAGTGTTCCTTCACTGAAAGGAATGTCACCTTTGTTTCAGAAGAAGCTGTTGAGGGTGGATCTAAGTCTTTGTCATTATGCTTCCAGTAAAGAAGAAACCCCCTTTGCAATGGTGATGATGTGTTTGCCAGTCAATGTGTACATCTGGTGACTGTAGGATCCCAGAGAAAAGTACCAAAATCATGCAAAAGCTCTTATATCACCTTTATCGTAAGTTTGCTAGCATGAAGCACTTCCCTGTACTCAAAGACAGTATAGGTTCCTTCCCATAAAGCTTATCTCAGGTACTGTCTACACAGACAATATCAACGTATGAAGCCCCCTCTCTGTGGCTCCAATCCTGGGGGGATCTTGAGGGATACTTTCTATAGTCCTACCCTGGTGAGGAAGGGTCAAAATCATAAGCAGAGACAAAGTGGACTGCGTAGCATCCGTATGGAGAAGCTAGGTACAGGGTCTGAAGTCCCAGAAACTGCATTCTCATGTATTCCCTGAGCTTGATTGTCCACAGAGACCAGTAGTCAACAACAACAACAAAACAAAACAAACAAACAAACAAACAAAAAACCCGGAAACTGCTCATGGCCAAAGTCAGCCTGAGAAAGAGTCACTTTCTACCGAAGACTTAGATGTTTGGAGTGAGGAACATGAAAATTCACAGCTCTTGTGCTCATTTCCAAAACAAGGTCTAGTCTACCAGTAGTGATAATCTTCTTTACAATACTGTTATGTCACTGGAGATAGATGTATCCGTCACAAATATCTTTATATTCTTATTAAATTGAATACTTGATTTTTGCACAACAAATTCTCTTTTGCTGGAAATGAAAGTCTCCTCTTGAAGCTATAAGAAGAAAAACATTATCTGGTTTAATATTTCAGATCAGTAAACTTTCAGCACTCCCCAAATACATACATACTAATCTCAGCTGGTCTTATAAACACAAGAGGCTGAAAGCTGCTACTTTTTTTTTAACCAAAGCAGTGAACACCTTAAAAAGTCACACTTTGATTTTGAAGGAAAAGAAACGAAAGTTTCAATGCTAATACTGATATTCTTAAGCATGAAATGTTGGATAGTTTCATAAGTTATCAATTCCTCTCTACATAGTGACATGTAGAAATCTTCATCAGCAAGTGGAACACGAGAGTATACCTTTGGAATGAAACATGTAGCTTATGACAACACCCAGGCACCCAACCCAGACTAAGGTTCCTGCCACTGGCAAGGAACTGGAAGGCACTGGCGGACATGTGCCAACGTCAGGAGTCATGGAGTCCTCGATAGTGTTTAGGACTCCGTCTGAGCTCAGGTGGGCAGAGGGGCCTAGTATAGAGTTAATGCATTCTTGAGCCACAGCTAGGGCAGCTGTGCAGCAAGTCCCCACCCCTCCATAGTACATCACCAACTGGCACAGGAAGATTGGGGACAGAAAGCCAGTCACTCTGTAAGGCTGTGATGAGCTAGCACAGAAATACACAGCAGAATCCTCCAGCTGCAAGGCGCTCATGTTCATCTCAGAGTGATAGTCACTGAACTGCTGCACTGAGAATCGGCTGGGGATGCTTCCTTTCTCTCCCTCCATTTCTTGATAATGCTGAATGAGGAACCTCAGTTCCTGCCCCAGAGTCTGCTGGTACCAGCTCACTCTGTCATGTCCAGAGATGGGAATGCATTTCAGCATGGACCTTCCTCCCCTTGCTTTGATTAGATGTCTTGGAGACTGGATGACCCCGGGTTTTGCTGAACCTGGGGAGGCAGGAGGCAGGAGTGAGCATCTGGAGGAAGAGGGCGTGGATGCAGCTGCAGTGAAGGAGTCAGGAGCAGTCCCTCCAGAGCTCAGGACTTACCTGTCCCCAGGAGAAAGACAGTGACACAGCAGAGCAGGGTGGGGCCCCAGGCAGAGTCAGGGAGGGCAGTGTCACTCATCCTTCTCCTCAGGATGCTGCTGTCCTTATGAGAGCAGAGTCAGCTCCTCCTCTCTCTCCCCTCCTCTCATCTCACTGCCTGTGGTGTTGGGCTCTGAGCTCAGTGACCTCGTTGGCTCCCATTGGCTCTCTGCACCCTTGGGCATACTCTGCTGGCTCAACCCCTCCCACTTTAGGCTCAACCTGCTTAGTGGAAGAAGAGATGGCTGTGCTTAATAAATATGGCTGTGTGTGGAGAAGTTTTTTCATTTATCCTCTGAGGCAGTTGCTTCCTTCTCTTCTAGCTTGAGGGTTTTTTTATTTGTTTGTTTGTTTGTTTTTTGTATTGCAAAGCTACATTTCAAGGCTCCTTGTGGTGACACCCAGTGGTTGTGCAAAGATGATTGGTCATCTCTCCCCCACATTGTATCTCCTGAGCCAGCACTGCTTCTGGTTCCACAGCAAATGCCCTACTGTGGCCTCCGTCTTACAGTCCTGCATCCACCTGCCAACAGCTTACTCAGTGAATCTACAGTGCCCTCTGGTGACCGCGTGTGCAATCAATGGGCTGTGCCCCTACTAGCTCTAGCTAGAAACTCTAAATCAGGCACCAGGAGTAATCCAGAAAACATCACAGAATTGTTGTGAGTAGCCATTTATCAATGAAAATCTCAAATAGTGCTGATGGTAGAAAGAGAAGCATGAAGCGACTTCATTTTTCAAAAAACAAAGAAAGAAACAAAGAATGAACCCCCCCCCGCAAAAACCCACAACTGAATAAAATAAAAACCTTTCATACTAGTCATTAAAATGTCATCTGCACTTGGAAGGGGCTAGACTCCAGGAATGCAGTCTTTGGTCATAGAAAATACATAGAAGGCCTGACTGTGGTTGATGGCAGGGAAGAGGCTTCTAAGCACTTGGAAAAATAAACCTGTCTAAGGAAGAGAAAGCTGAGGAGGGCAGAATTTTGGGTATTATTGTTGCAGCCAGCCAGCTTGTCACCAAAGAAACTTAAGTATTAAAATTTTATGTTGGATTCCCTACTTGCTAAATATTTGACCATTTAAGATTATTCTCAGTTCACTTACACCTTGTTCTCATTTTTTCTTATGAATACCATCTTCAAATTCATTAATCCTTCCTTCTGGGGCATCCAAACTGCTGTTACTTGCATTATCTGTTTTTCACCACAGACACTGCTATTATATTTGTAGAAGTTTGACTGGAAACTTTTTATGTCTTCTCCATTTCTACCAACCAGTTAAGATACATACTGTATTTATATTGTTTAAGGTCATTGTCAGCCAGGTTGTCAGGAATAGGGTGCTCTAGTGACTGGCTCTTCTCCTACTAATGAGTCCTATTTTCTTCCTTTTACACAAAACTATTACCTTTTATGTTTTCTGGTGTTACACACTGTGGTTTTCTTACTAGAAAAACTCATAGGTGTTCTCTGCATTGTGCTTAAGTCGCTGAACATTTTTTAAAAATTGAAATTGCTAGTAGATCATTATTGCTCCTTGTAGATTTTAGCAAAAGAACGTATACAGCATAGAGAGGAACACAACTTAAAAATCCATAAAGTGGGGGGCTAGACAGATGGCTCAGCAGTTGGGAGCACTGGTTTGTCTTCCAGAGGTCCTGAGTTCAATTCCCAGCAACCATGTGTTGGCTCAAAACCATCTGAAATAAAATCTGGTGTCTTCTTCTGGCCTGCAGACATACATGCAGGCAGAACACTGTATACATAATAAATAAAGTCTTTAAGAAAAAGCATAAAATAATGGCTAGAAAATATACAATATTAATACAATGAAGTATTGAGATAAATCAAGTTTGTGTACACATTAAAAACACCAACTGTGTTACATGAAAGCAATGAAACACAAAGGGAAAGAAATTATAATTGGAAATATAGACTTCCAAATATAGGCAAATTTCTGGGTTTAAGAGAAGAATAATTTGTGCTTAAGTGGTTTATAGAGTGGAACACATTAGGAATAACACAATGATGATGGTTCTACAACAGTGAATATGTACAAAGCAAGAGTTATTGGGGTAGCTTGACAGTAATTGTCCCCCAATAAACTCATAGGAAGGTGCAGCATTTCTTGGAGTAGGTGTGGCCTTATAGGAGAAAGTTTCACAGTGAGGGTGGGCCTTGAGGTCTCTTTTGCTCAATAGTATCTCAGTGTGACACTTAGTTCATTTCTTGTGGTCTTTGGAACAAGATATAGCCAGCACCATGTCTGACTGCATGTCACCATGCGGCCAGCACCATGACAATAATGAACTAAACCTCTGAAAATGTAAACCACCCAAATTAAACATTGTTTCTTGATAAGAGTTGCCATGGTCATGGGGTCTCTTCACAGCAATAGAAATCCTAACTTAGACAGCTATAGTTATAAAAACAGTGATGGATTTCAGAAAATGACTGCCCACTACGCTGCTTTGGTTTCATCTTCTTCTGACCTAAGGGTGCTTTGAGGAAAAAATATAGAAAAAACTTTTCTCCTAGCTTCTTCAGGTAAACAGAACACAGATTCTCCAAAGGAAGCATGTGAACCTCTCCCTGGAAGTCCATCCAACCAGGGAGGATTCAGTTATCACAGGAGGAGACACTGGAGGCCGGTGCATGTTTAGATATTCATTTTCCTTTCATTTAATGTTCCTAGATATGGAATCAGTTTGCACACGGGTTCTCCTGTTAATCTGTGAATTCATTTCATAGACACCATGCAGAGAGTAAAGAAATATAGCCCCTGGACAGCAGTCAAAGTAAAATTTTATGTTACCATGTATTTTATCCTTAAAAAGTAAAAGTCAGAGACTATCTTCAAAATGACAAAAGTGTATAAAAGTGAATATTAATAGCTGAATCTTCCATGGAAGTATGTAAAGGGAAAGAACCCAAGTAAGTCATATATATTAGTAATGAGCATAAACTCTGTTTGCTAGCAAGCATCCCATGGAATGTTTTCTGATGTGGCTGTAATTTTCTTCTGTAGTGTAACATAGATCCTGGTAGTCCACAGCTATGTGCACTGTGCTTGTAATTCTTTAGAAAATGTTCCTATCTGGTAAGTTTGAGTCCAAGACTCATCGCTTCAGCTGCTCGCACTTTATTTCTGAGTAAGAGTGAAAACAAGTTAATGTTTCGTTGTAATTGCTGCTTACTCTTCTGTGACTTGAAGATTTAGATGCAGCATTGATGTACTTATCAGGTAATCTTCTTTATTACAAAATATTATTTTTTCTATTTTCGGTAATAATTATAACAGTCAACGCTGGTTATATTACAGAGCAGAATAGCGCTTACATGGTTTAGATGAGAATCATTCCTCCAAAGACTCATGTTTTAAAGACTTGGTTGTCTAAACTGCGTTCATGAGAAAGATCTTTGAGAAATATTAGATCATGAAGGTTTTCAGTGGCTAATCCACGGACTGTTTCAATTAGAAAGGGGCATTGAGTGATGGATATGACTTCTTATAGCAGGTTAAAAGTCACTAGGGGCATGCAAATAAAAATGATCTCTCTCTCTATCTATTTGTCTGTCTGTCTGTCTCTGTCTCTGTCTTTCTCTCTGTGTCTCACTCTCTCCCTCTCCTTTCATCTCCTTCCCTCTCTTTCCTTCCTTCTTGGCTTTCATGAGATGGGCAGCTCACTTGTGGCACATTCTTCCTGCCATGATGCCCTGCCGCACTACAGGCACCCAATCAGGAGGTCTAATTCATCACAGAACGAAACCTTGAAACACTGAGCCAAAGCCAAAATTGCACTTTCTTCCTTTATTTTCTCGGACTGGTCATGACACCAGAAAGGTGACTGTGACATGAATCTCCAAACTCAATGCCGAGTCAGTTTTATTGCCTGTGGCCTCAAAATACAGGATGACATAAATAGTTTCTACCCAGTTGTCTACCCAATTCCCAACCACTGAGCCAAGCTACTGACACATTTTAACAAGAGAATCTGATACTTTCATTTGTAAATTCCTCAAGGTATGTATAATAGATCCTGAAATCTGGCATGGCAGTTCCTCCAGGATTTTTGGCAATGTAACACTTCTGAGTAATGTGGAGTTTGTCTTCCCCAAGTGAGTCCAGCATTAAGATTTCTACTGTTGTGAAGTGACACTATAACCATGGCAACTCTTAAAACCATTCAACTGGCTGACTTACATTTGCAGAACTTTAGTCCGTTATCACAGTGGTGTGACACGGTGGCATGCAGACAAAGTGCTGACTACATCTTCATCCAGTGGCAACAGAGAGTTAGCCGAGGGTCACCCTGAGTGAAGCTCAAGCAAAGAACCTGGAAGTCCACGGGCACGGAGACACACTTCCTCCAGTAAGGCCACATCTACTCCAGCAGAGCCCTGCAATATGCCACATCTACTCCAGCAAAGCCCTGCAATAATGCCACATCTACTCCAGCAAAGCCCTGCAATAATGCCACATCTACTCCAGCAAAGCCCTGCAATAAGATCACATCTACTCCAGCAGAGCCCTGCAATAAGGTCACATCTACTCCAACAAAGCCCTACAATAAGGTCACATCTACTCCAGCAAAGCCCTACAATAAGATCACATCTACTCCAGCAGAGCCCTGCAATAAGATCACATCTACTCCAGCAAAGCCCTACAATAAGATCACATCTACTCCAGCAGAGCCCTGCAATAAGATCACATCTACTCCAGCAGAGCCCTGCAATAATGCCACATCTACTCCAGCAAAACCCTGCAATAAGATCACATCTACTCCAGCAAAGCCCTACAATAAGATCACATCTACTCCAGCAGAGCCCTGCAATAATGCCACATCTACTCCAGCAAAGCCCTGCAATAAGATCACATCTACTCCAGCAAAGCCCTACAATAAGATCACATCTACTCCAGCAAAGCCCTACAATAAGATCACATCTACTCCAGCAAAGCCCTACAATAAGATCACATCTACTCCAGCAGAGCCCTGCAATAATGCCACATCTACTCCAGCAAAGCCCTGCAATAAGATCACATCTACTCCAGCAAAGCCCTACAATAAGATCACATCTACTCCAGCAAAGCCCTACAATAAGATCACATCTACTCCAGCAAAGCCCTACAATAAGATCACATCTACTCCAGCAAAGCCCTGCAATAAGATCACATCTACTCCAGCAAAGCCCTGCAATAAGATCACATCTACTCCAGCAAAGCCCTACAATAAGATCACATCTACTCCAGCAAAGCCCTGCAATAAGGTCACATCTACTCCAACAAAGCCCTCCAATAAGGCCACATCTACTCCAACGAAGCCCTGCCTCCAGAAAGTAGTGCAGCTCTCTGTGAGCTTATGGGGTCCAATTACACTCAAACTAATACGTTCAACTTTTGACCCCATAAGATTGTAGCAGTATCATAACACAAAATGCATTCAGTCCAACTTCAAAAGTCCCCATAGTCTATCATAGTCCCAACAATGTTTCAAAGTTTAAATAGTTCAAAGTCTCCCCTGAGATTCATGCAGTCTCTTAACTGTATTTCCCCCTATAAAATCAAAATCAAAATAAACAGGTCACATAGTCCCAACACATAATGGCACAGAATATATGCTACTGCTCTAAAACATAGGGAAGGAAGCATAGCAAGGAAATACTGAACTCAAGCAAGACCAAAAAACAGCTGGGCAAAGTACAAGCTTTTTGTCTCCATAGTTGATGTGAAAACACTCCAGATCTCAAGCTCCTTTTGTATCCGTTGACTACAACTTACTATTTTCTCTTGGGCTGATTCCACTCCCTGTTAGCAAGCTTCTGTTGACAGCAATCCCTCAGCCTAGAAACCTCTAACATCTTGGGGTCTCCAGATAACCCAGGCTTCTATTTCACAGCTTCACACAAAGGCCTCTTTAGGCCACACTCAGGGACACCCCTGACACATGCCTGGCCTCAGCAGCTTTCCTTAGTGACTGAGTCAGATTCCATAGCCCCTTCGTTTTATCCTGCAAGCCAGAACCATGTGGGCGAGGCTGCCAAGTTCTGCTGTTTACTGTGGCTGGAAACACCCCCACCCCCTAAATCACTTGTATTTTCACCGACTTTCTGCTTTCCAAGGTTCCCTTTACTACCTAAGCCTGATTGTTCTGGAACTTGTTTATTGACCAAGCTAGCCTTGAACGCAGAGATCATTTAACTGCGTCTTCACCGCCTTTCTGTGTTTCAGAATTTCCTTCGTTGCCTAAACTTAGCTATTCTGGAACTTGCTCTGCACACCAGGCTGTCCTCAAACTCCAGCAGCCTCTGCATTCCCAGTCTTGGGATCAAGGGCGTGCACCAGTGCACCATGCTGTAATCTTTTCTTTAGTTTCTTTTCACAAGCTGGAAACTTAGCTGTATGGAATCCTGCTCTGGGGTCACCATCCCTTTATTCAATCTCTTAATCTGTTGATCTCCTTGAACCCAGGACTTTCTATCTCACTTCTTGGTGTCCCTTTTCTCCCCAAGTATTACATTTTGCATTTTTTTCTTGCTCAGTTTGCTCCTTTTCATTATAAATCTTCGCTTGAGTTAACACTAATAACCACGTGGCATAATCTATACTAGGCTGTTTTGAGATTTCCTCTGTGAAAGATAAATTCAAAGCTCTTCACATTGCCCTCAGGGAGACCCTCTTGACAAGGGCAAAAAGCAGCCACTTTCTTCACCAGAATATCACAAGAATGATCTCTATGCAACACACTAAAATTCTTCACCTCTGAAACCCCTTCAGCCAGTCTCCCACAGTTGAAATCGCCCCTAGCATCACTGTCTTTCATATTCCGACTAGCATGGCACAATAAGAAGCACTTAAAGCATTAAACTACTTTCTCATCCACAGCCTCACTGTCTGTATTCCTTCATACAAAAGCATTGCCAGGCCTATCATAGCAATACCCTACTCCCGGTACCAACTCCTGTTTTAGTTAGGTTTTCTATTGCTGTAAGTAGACACCATGACCATGACCCTTACAAAGGAAAGATATTCAATGATGGATGTCGGGGGTCTCTGGGGCCCCCCCGGGTCAAAGTCGGGGAGGATAGAGTGCACTGTTTGCCAGTCCAGCAGCCTCCTGGAGGAATCTGGGGACAATCAGGCACAACGGGAAGCCCGGTCAAAACAAGGTCTCATTTATTGCTTAACAGTGAGCCTTTTTAAAGTAAAAAACCCTGCAAGGTGGGAGAAGTATCACCCAATAATTTTACAGGTATTTCTGTGATGTATCCAGTGTCCTATCCTCTCTTGGGAAATGTCTGCGGATGTGATGACCTCATCCACTATGACTTTGGGCAGCCAATTGTTTTTCTTAGCAATCGCTTAAAGCCTTGCCTCCATGACTTCTGCTCAGCACCATCTAGTAATGGTGTCATCTTATAAAGGTATCAGTTATGGGCCACTCCCTCTTTTGGTGGGACAGTAGTCAGCTTGGGCCACTCCCCTCCTGCAGGGACATGATCCGTGCTCCTCCACAGATGGCAGCTTACATTTTCAGAGGGTTAGCCCATCATTGCCATCTTGGCACATCATGGTAGCATACAGGCAGACTTGGCGCTGGCTACAGCTTGATTTGCAGACAACAGTAATTGAATAGAGTGTCACAATGAGCAAAGCTTGAGCAATAAAAACCTCAATGCCCACCCATAGAGTGAAACATTTCCTCCATAAGGCCAAATCTACATAAACAGAGCAACACTTCCTAATAGTATCACTCCCTAAGAGTTTATGGGGAAAATTACACTCCAATTACCACAGTCTCCTACATTGTAAACCAATCACAGGCAGTTTTTACAAAAAGGATACATATAACTAACACTAAATAGACTCAGCAGGTTGAATTTATTGATTCATACCACGCGCACGCGCATACACACACACACACACCAAAAATGATAGTTATTAAAGAATAAGAGGCTGTGAATTTGAAAGAGGAGAGAAACATGTGAGGAGCTAGAGGAAGAAGTAAGGGAAGAAAAATGTAATTGAATTAAATTTCTTTTTTTCCCTTTTTTTAAAATTTAAGTTAGAAACAAGCTTGTTTTACATGTCAATCCCAGCTCCCTCTCCCTCCCCTCCTTTCCTGCCCTGTCTATTTTAATACCAAGCTGTTTTCAGGACTATAGCTCTGTAATACAGCTTGAAGTCAGGGATGGTGATGCCTACGGATGTTGCCTTGTTGAACAGGGTTGTCTTGGCTATCCTGGCTCTTTTGTTTTTCCATATAAAGTTGAGAACTGTTCTTTCAAGGTCTGTGAAGAATTATGAAGGGTAAAAGAAAACAAATCCAACCTGAAATAGATTTTCGTGAAAAGTAGAGGTGCAGAACAAGAAGGAAAGTTGTGTTCAGTACAGAAGAAATGTCCTAGGAAAATACCTCCAGAGTTGAAAACAGCACAACACAAAGGAAGCAGTAATGGGATGTAGACAAGTTTAGCTTGAGAGGAAAGAACCAGGGAAGGCTGAGTACATGCTGATGACGGAGATGAAGAAAGAAAACAACATAGGATCAGATGAGCTATTGCCCGACAGAACATAGAGGCTACTGACCTAAAGAGGGAACCCAAACCTGGAAGGAGACCATGCAAGTGACTCAGTAGGATAGTAAATGACTGAGGAGTTCACTGAAGGACACGAGTGTGTAGGAAGTCCTATGCATTTATCAATAAAGCACTGCTGACCAATAGGAATCTAGATAGGTGGGACTAGGAGTCCAGGAGGACTCTGGGAAGGAGAAACACAAGGGAGTCGAGATGTAACACCATGGGATAGGAAGCCCGGAAACTTCTCCGGTAAGAGACATACGTAGATTAACAATTATGGGGTAATTACTGAAGTCAGAGCTAGCCAGTAAGAAACAAGCAAGGCCAACAGCTTCATAATTAATACAGCGTCTTGTGTGTTATTTGGAGACTACAACGCAGCAGAGCCCAGGCGACTGGCTGGTGAAAAACCAAAGCGGCTAACAAGGAAAAAGCTTCCCTTTACACACGAGGAGGGAGATGGTGGCTATGACCTTATCCAAGGGGTCATGGGGAACTTCAATTAATGATTCATTTTCAGCCAGTACTGGTAGCACACGCCTTTAATCCCAGCATTAGGGAAGCAGAGGCAAGCAGATCTCTGTGACTTTTGGCCAGTCTGGTCCACAAAATGAGTTCCAAGACCCAAGAATGTTACACAGAAAAACTGTCACAAAAAATACTCCCCCAAAACAGTGACAAGCATCCATGAAAAGGTGTTAGAGTGGACTTCAGACAGGCTGAGACCCATGCTGACAAGGTCCTAGTTTGTCACAGCTCAGTGACTCTTGCAGAGGCAGGGACTTCCTGGGGGCACACAAGAAACTGGATTTCCTAATTTATTTTATATGCAGATGGGAGGCAGCCACACATTGCCATGTTTCACTGCTGGCACAGAAGTACACAGCTGTCTGAGGGGGGAAGCCGTCTCCAGAGCTTGATTATTGATTAACAAAATTTTTGTTGAAAATTAACCCCATCTTGAAACTATAAAATACAAACATTATCTGACTTAGTATTATACATCTATAACCTGTTAGCACCACATACATGTACAAACTAACCTCAGCTAGTCTTTATAACACAAGAGAAAGTGAGCTGCTATATTTTTTGGACCAAAACTGGGAAACACCAAAGAAATTCAGAACATTGACTTAGAGGCAAAGAAATGTAGGTTTCATTCCTTATGTTAATATCCTTAAACATGAAATGTTAGGAAATTTAATAAGCTACTGATTCCTATTGAAGTGATGTAAAGACATCTTAATCTTAAAAATAGATATGTTAATGTCTATCCTTGTCTTAAAATATTTTGCCTATGGCCACACCCGAACACAGAGTAGCCTTTTCTAAAACTGACTGAGAGCTGAAAGGTGCTAGCAGAGATAAGAGTCTTGGGGCCGGACCCAGTGTTAGAAATCTCCGTGTGATCTCAGATAGGCACTCAGGGGATAGGTACAAATCTATAAGTATTTCTAGGCCTTAGCTACGGCTGTGTGTTTTCTGAAGACACCTCTACAGTACAACGTCAGTAGGAGCAGGAAGATTGGAGACAGAAAGCCAGTCACTCTGTAAGGCTGTGATGAGCTAGCACAGAAATACACAGCAGAATCCTCCAGCTGCAAGGCGCTCATGTTCATCTCAGAGTGATAGTCACTGAGCTGCTGCACTGAGAACCGGCTGGGGATGTTTCCTTTCTCTCTCTCCATTTTTTCATAATGCTGAATGAGGAACTTCAGTTCTTGCCCCAGAGTCTGCTGGTACCAGGCCACTCTGTCATGTCCAGAGATGGGAATGCATTTCAGAGTGGACCTTCCTCCCTTGGCTTTGATTAGATGTCTTGGAGACTGGATGACCCCGGGATTTGCTGAACCTGGGGAGGCAGGAGGCAGCAGTGAGCATCTGGAGGAAGAGGGCATGGATGCAGCTGCAGTGAAGGAGTCAGGAGCAGTCCCTCCAGAGCTCAGGACTTACCTGTCCCCAGGAGAAAGACAGTGACACAGCAGAGCAGGGTGGGGCCCCAGGCAGAGTCAGGGAGGGCAGTGTCACTCATCCTTCTCCTCAGGATGCTGCTGTCCTTGTGAGAGCAGAGTCAGCTCCTCCTTTCTCTCTCCTCCTCTCATCTCACTGCCTGTGATGTCAGGCTCTGAGCTCAGTGACCTCGTTGGCTCCGATTGGCTCTCTGCACCCTAGGACACACTCTGCTGGCTCACCCCTCCCCCTTTAGGCTCAGCCTGCTTAGTGGAGGGGGAGACTTCTGTGCTGAATAAATATGGCTGTCTGAGGAGAAGTCCTTTCCATGCTTTCCTCTGCATTGGTAGCTTTCTTCTCCTATGTCCTGGAGTTATTGGAGGGCCAAGCCTGAAGTCATGGCTTCCTGCGGTAATGTCCAGTGGGTGTGCAAAGAAGATTGGCATCTTCTCCCCCACCCTGTGCCTCCTGAGCCAGCACTGTTTCTTTCTTCTTTTTTTAGAGTTGATTCTTTTTTTCTCCTCTCTTTTTTCATTTAAATTAAAAACAATCTTGTTTTACATGTCAATCTCAGTTCCCTATACTTCCCCTCCTGCCCTGCCCCCCACCAACCCCCTAGCTCATCCCCTTCTGCTCCCCAGGGAGGGTGTGACCTTCCATGGGCAATCTCCAAAGTCTGTCCCATCATTTGGAGCAGGACCTAGGCCCTCCCCAGTGTGTCTAGGCTGAGAGAGTATCCCTCTATGTAGAATGGGCTCCCAGAGTCCATTCGTACACTAGGGATAAATACTGACCCTTGTCTTAAAACATTTTGCCTATGGCCACACCCGAACACAGAGTAGCCTTTTCTAATACTGACTGGGAGCTAAAAGGTGCTGGCAGAGTCAAGAGGACATCTGGAGTCTTGGGGTCGGCCCCAGTGTTTAGAAATCTCCATGTGAGGTCATATTGGCACTCAAGGGATAGGTACAAACCAGACGCCCCATAGACTGTGAAAGCCTCCTAACTGACACCCACATTCAGGGGGCCTGGGTTGATCCTATCCTGGTTTCCTAGCCATCAGTCTGGGGTTCATGAGCTCCCCCTTTTTCAGGCCAGATGCTTCTGTGGGTTTCTCCAGCCTGGTCTTGACCCCTTTAGAGGGAGTCATTATAGGTTTAAAGAGAAATCTGGCTCTAGGGAAATGTCCAGGGATCCACAAGGATGACCCCAACTAAGAATCTAGGCAATAGTAGAGAGGCTACCTTAAATGCCCTTCCCTGATAATGGCTTAAATGCCATCCTAGAGCCTTCATCCAGTAGCTGATGGAAGCAGAAGCAGACACCCACAGCTAAACACTGAGCCGAACTCCTGGAAGCCACCACCGTTTCTGGTTCCATAGCTAATACCCCGCTTTGGGCTCACTCAGTGGATGTTGCAGTGCCATCTAGTGACCAGTCAATGGGCTGTGCCTGGCATCAGGGGTAGGTTAGAATGCATCAAGAGTTGTCACCAGTTCCAGTTTGCATACAGAAATATCAAGTATTACCTGAGTCAGTGAGAGAGGAATAAAAAAGGTAGTCATGAAAAAAGAGTAAACTCTTAAGTCATATCACAGTGTAGACACATATTAGTCATTAGATGCCAGGCGACCTTGGAAGGGGGTGGACCTGGGCAAAACACTCTGTTAGTACTGGGCTGACTGTGGATGCTGTCAGTGAAGAAAGATTTGAGCAATTGGGGAAATAACGGGTCTAGGGAAAAAGAAAGCTGAGAAGGGTAGGAGGTTGGGATTATTGTTATGGACATCTAGCTAGTCTTTAAAGAAGTTTATATACTAGAATTTTACAGTGAAATCCCCACTTGCATATTTCACCATTTGAGGTTACAGCTCATTTCCACCTTGTCCTTGTTTTCTTACGAATACCATCTTCACATTTATTATTTCCTCCTTCTGTAACATCTAGTCTACTGGTACTTACAGTCAACTATTTCTCATAGAAAACACTGCAATTTTCACGTCGATCTTTACATTTCTACAAGCTGGATAAGGTATGTGCTGCAGTTATACTGTTTAGTGTCATTGTCAGACAGTTTGTCAGAAATCAGTTGGTTTCTAGTGATTGATTTCTCTCCTACCGATGGGTTCTGTTTTCTTCCTTCTTTGCAAAGCTGTGACCCCTTATTAGATGCCAAACTGTGTATTTGATGTTTGAGTGTGCCAGTTCTTATTACGTTCACAGCTTCATTATACAATGTTCTTATATAACTGAAAACAAAAATCAGGGAAATTCCTAGCAGATAGTTTTTGATCCTTGCAAAGATATGTATGAAAAAATATATATTGAGGTATATATTGAAAATGTTATCTATAGTGATTAAGAACCTTTTATTTAAAAAGAATTTGAGAAAGTAGACCAACAGATAAAAGGTCTATTATGATATAATATCATATTAAATGAGATAATGTGCCACATTAAAGGATCTGGCAAAAGGGCAATGTAATAGAATACAGATCCAGAATAAGAGATCAATGCATATGTAATTATTGCTTTATGATAAATGTGATTTTATTGACCAGTGAAGTAAGTAAATGTTATCATTTATCAAATACACTGTATAAATTGGATAACTGTGAAAAATTATACAGTGACCTTTCTTATATACAGAGAGTGTTTGTAGCTGCATTGCAAATGAAAGTGTAAAGTTTTGCATTTTTTTAAAAAAGGTATATATGAAAGCATGACTGTCTTGTATATCAGATAACAAAATATACAATAAAGATTAATAGAGAAAAATAGAATGGCTTTGGTTTGAGAACTTCTGCTCATCAAAATATGTACTGTAAACTGGGCGGTAATGGCACACTTTTGATCCCAGTACTCCAGAGGCAGAGGCAGGTATCCTCTACGTGACTTCAAGTTCCCGAACAGCCAGAACTGCATAAAGAAACCCTGTTTTGAAAAGCATATATGTGTATGTATGTATGTATCATATGTATATAAGTGTCTGTGTGTAGACCATACATAACATGCAAATCAGCTCATATATATATATATATATATGTTACCAAAGTCATTTTAAAATGCATAAGGAGATGGAAATTCTAAATCATTTGATCATTACATCACATGTGTGTATGTCACACTATATTTCCTAAATATATGTAATTAAAATATACTAATGATTTAAAATGAAATTTAGTTTTCTCAGTTACAGTTTTGTAATCTAAGTGCCCAGGAGGCAAAGCCAAGCAGATCTCTGGCTGGCTCATCAGTCTAGTCTAATAGGAAGGACACCCGGGCCTCAATGAAGAGACCTTGTCTCAAAAAATAAAGTAGACTGCACCAGAGAAATAATAAGGCTGACCTCTGGCTTGCACTAATACACAGTCAGACAGACAGCCATACTCCCCTCCCCCCAACAACAAAGAGATAATGGCTGAGTGATACTGGAAGGAAGAAGACCACCGCGGCTGATGAAAACTCACCATACCTCAGCGGAACCTGTAGATTAATGTGACTGCTTTGGATGTGTTCTTTGGGTCATCTGGGAGTCTGTTGTCTTAACAGCTTTACAAGTTCTGTTGTATTTTATGAAATCAATGTAAATTTGACTTTCTGTTTTTCTACACTAAAGAAATCTATTTAATTGCACATAACCCAGAGTTTTATAAGCCAACTTGACTGAAATTTCTTTTAAATTCCTCAAATCCATTAACATTTTGTGTAGACCATATATTGAAAAATTTCACTATATATCCTGAGAATTGAAGGAGACTAAAATACCACTGGAATATTTAAGAGAAAACCATAAAAGGATCATAACAGAACTTTCTCGATCATTTTAGAATGGGTGGACTGCTTACTTTTTAATAATGAGGGTGATGATACTATGGTCATTTATACAATCACAGTTTGCAAAGGACAGTTATGATTATTCTCCTAATAAATTTCTTAACAGTCCATGAGACATAACAATTATTCTCTTTACATACTTGAGAAAATGAGACTTACTGCATTAAATGACTTGCCAATCACAAAGCTGATAAAAGACTGATTTAGTACCTTAGCAAAGGCACTAGTGCTCAATACAAAACTGGTATTGCATGCCCGTAATTTTATTAACATGGTTTCATTAAAAGTAAGGATGTTGGAATGTGACTTTGTGTGCTACATGACTTAAGTTTAAAACGTTTTAAATCAAAAGTAATGAAAACAATGATATTAAGATTTTAATAAGCTCTTACCTTAATTTCACAATAGCAGGAAAACTCTAAGGATGCCCATCATTCGTCTCTGCGTTTACAATGCAAACACAGATCAGTCAGGTTAATTTGTATTTTGGAGAAAAGGAAAATGAATGAAAACATCTTACTCAAATATAGGAGTCTCTAGTTGTTTGTAGCCAGATCCTCATATTTAGATGTGTAACTTTATACTACTAGAATCATTGGCTACCATGTGGGATAAGATGTGCTTTTGAAACAGCTAGCTGGCAAGAAACATAAAGCTGAATGAGAACAGGATTGTTGAAGGAAACAAGAAGTGGTACATGGGTGTAACTTAAAGGATGCTTTACTGAGAGACGGATGCTTCTGAGTGGCTTACTTTTAAAGGAATTATGTGGGTCCTAGTATTTTTACAACTGGCCTTGTCACCGCTTTGTTCTGGCTGGGCCACTGCCTGGTATAGTGGAGGTCTGAGTTAGTAACATCCAGGATGGGATAGTTTGTAAATGCAATGCAATTTTGTAGCTAAGTGTTTGTATTTGTCACTACCCCTCAGACTAGGCTTTAGTGTTGAGTCCCAGTTACTGATCTGAACCCTCGGGAATACTAGGAAGTGATAATCCAGATTTACAAAGGCTCAGCATCACCTGTCTCACAACCCAAAGGTCGTTTCCTGATCCCCTGCCAGAAGAACCCCAGAAACACCAAATGCATTTGCTCCCTTTGAGGGGAGGACCCTGCCAAGTCATCTGCTCAGGGCTTGGGACAGCCCTAAAGAGGGTTGTACATCTGACGTTTGTGAGCTGGAAGGAGGCAGCTGTGTTCTGCTGTGGCTAAGCTGCTGGCACAGAGGTACACCGCTGAGTCCTCCTGCTTCGCGGGCTCGATCTTCAGAAAAGAGTAGGATCCCTCGGG